ACAACAACTCCTGCTGCAAACAAAATCATCCCAATCAAGACAGCAATGTGCCCTTGTCTCCACATCTCCCCTGTTGGAAGTGAACTACTACAGACACCACGTTGTACTCCCCCGATCCTGATTGTGAAGTGGGGAGTGGAGGGGAACATAATTGCATGCTTAAACGCCTGAGAAACGGACGTCCAGTTCTGCTGAGTTGGTGCTTTTTGTGTGGCCTCATTGTTGGGAAGTGCAGTCATGCAGCTCTTTGAGTCCCTGTCGGTGTTCATGTTTGGTTAGGGGTGGTTCAGAAGAGTGGAAGAGGGGGAAATATTGTCTGGCGGCCAGATATTTCATTCCAAGACCAAGCACTTTGTGCCCGTCCGCCATGCCTGGCAGGAGGAGGGTGGCTGTGACCAGAATGGAGTAAAATCAGAGGCTGTTCCCTCTTCCAGTTGCATTTCTGTCCCGTGGTCAAACACTCGTTGTCAGCCATTTTAATAAGCTGTTTTAAAGGGTTTGTGGAGAACACACAAACACAAGGATGCACCCATCATATGCACACATGCGTACACATGCACAGGACTGGTTGATGTACTTAATGTGGCCGAAGTAGACGAACAAAAGGTTCCTTTACGGGGTTGCAGTGTAATGAGGGTCGGTTTGACCGTAAATATGTTGCTCTACAGAGTTTTCCATCTCACTGTAGGACAAAAGAGACAAGCCATCAAATTCGGGTCAATCAAAGGCTTCTATGTTGCGTATCAACTCACTGAGAGGAATCAGTTGTGCCACCGCGGCTGTCTGTGGCCCCAACGTGGTTAACAGGGGCAGGATTCCCCAAGCACAGGTGGCACAGTAACAAGTGCCAGAAAAGAAGATCAAGTAAGTGGTTTCTCTCTGGTCCCCCATTTCATCACTTGTAGTTCAGAGCTCTGCGACCTAGAGAGTGAATTCAACCATCAGTGCTCAGAGGTTTTCATTTAATTAGGCCTTGTGAGTAACAGAATACCTTAGAAATAGAGAACAAGAAAGAGCGTACAGCAAGAGGTGTGGGGTAAGAAAAAAACTAGATACTGTTCAAACATGTTTGGAAGAGATTCAAAGTTTTCAAAAAACTTAATTAAAGAGCACTGCAGTGCTTTTATTGTCTCCAGCTTTGCTGAATAGACACAATTTATGGTGACAAGCCCCACTTTCGGAATCCCTGGAATGGGCTGATAAATAAGACAAAGACAAGATGATAGCTGCATTTAAAAACAAAATAGACTTGGACTGGTCCAATCTCTAGAGATGTCATCACGTCAACATGTCTGGGACACAAACAATGCTATTATGTCAAACGACTATTTAATTGTTAAAAAAGGAAGGCAATACCAAAAGCCTTATCACAAAATTAAATAAAAAACAACTTGCAGCCATTCATGCAGTAACACAAATGTGTCATAGAGTAAAAATATTTAAAACTCACCTACAAATCATTGGATTTTATCAAATGCAACTGTTTTTACTATAACAATGTCCCAACTACTGTAGTCAAGTTAGGCGGCAAGTGATGAGAGGTGGAAAAAGTAGCCAAAACATCATAACCAATAAAACCATGTGTGATATGTTGATCTTAGACATGTAACGTCATATTAATCCAACTGTTTTCAGTTTCTTTAAGTGGAGACACACTCACACCATGAATTCATTATTGAATTGGATAGGAAAGCAAGCGAGTGAAGACAAATGAAAAAAAAGAGGGAAAAAAAGCTTGAATTATCAACCTCATTTTCCATCTCTGCAATCAATGCTTATGAAGCTGAAACTGTCATTTTTGGCATGGTGGTAATTGCTTTTGGCCCGTAGCGGATCCTCTGACTCATGAGAGAGAGAGGGAGAGTTGGTGGAACACAGATGGAATATTTCCCAAGCTCCCGAGAGCTGGACAAGACCTCCATTCAGGTCTTCTTCTCCAACCACTGATTAAGACCAACAACAGAAGTTTAGCAAACACTATGTTTTATTCTATTCAAACCTTGATTCAGCCAAATGAATCAGATAAAGATGAAAGCTGTATGGCTGCAGGAAACACCTTGTCCAAAGAAATACGTTTATTTAAATCAATCCAGGTGGGTCTCAGGAAAGCCAGTGGAGAAATTTCATGGTGGATGCCAGAGAATGCAGCCTCCTGACCCGATTAGAATAAAATATGAAACAGTTCCCTTTCAGTTTATAAAGATTATGAATAAAATGGGATGAAGTTGACCGTAATTAAAGAGGCCCCTCAAATAACCACAAAGCTGACATAGCTGTGTTATGAACACAACCATTACTGAATAACAGTGGTGACAAATAACTGCATGGAGGCTGCTTAAGACTGACGTGAAGTAATTGTATTTTAGTATTTGTAGTATTGTATTTATTTTTGAGTTTTTTTCTATTTCATTTTTCTTAATACTATATATAGTATATATAGTATATAATATAATCCACCACATTTCAGCGGACATATTGTACTTTTTACCACGCTACATTCTTCAGAAAACAAATCTACAAATGAAATATGATGCATTTTAGATTAAACTAACCAACGGCTGGGCCATCCTTCAATCAGAGGATCGGCGGTTCGATCCCCGGCTCCGGCTCTGCTAGTCGCATGTTGATGTGTCCTTGAGCAAGACACTTAACCCCAAAATTGCTCCCGTAGCTGTGCCTACGGTGTAGAAATGTGAGTCCCTTTGGATGAAAGTGTCTGCTAAATGACTGTAATGTAATATAAATTAGTAAAAAACAGCTCTACTTTGACAACATTAAAATTCTTCTATATATACATCAATAATACATCAAAAATAGGATATAGCTTACTGTACATACAAATAATGTAAAACTATTCTGCATTACGAGTACTTTCAGTACATTTAGCTGATTATACTTCTGTACTTTCACTAAAATACAATTTTGAATGCAGGATTTTAGTTCACACTGTGGTGTTACTACTTTGGTGCTTCTTTAAAAGCAGCTGAATAGATTTGTTGACTAAATACATTTTCTTCCACATGAAAACTTTTTTTCTTTTGAATGCAAACGGAAAACCTTTGTGTTTTGTATCATATATATATATATATATATATATAGAGAGAAAGAGATTTTTACATTTGGACCACGCAGGGTAAATTAATTCAGTTGTGGTTAAATTCTAGGTTTTCTTTCAAAAGTTATTAGCTGGAGTGCTAAAATCCATTGTGTCACATCATGAATTAAACATTTTTCCTAAAATGGGACATATTAGTCCCTGCAAGCAACCAAACCAGCACTTCATTTCAGAAAATCAAACCAAAGCCGACCACAGCCCACTTTACGTAGTCACTCAACAAATTCAACTAGTCATCTGTGAGAAAAGGCTGTTGTTGAGAACTACTTATCTGCAGCCAATGATCTATTTATCCCAACTCTATCTGCTTGAGCGGTAATGTATTATTGTAAATGAGGCCAGAGACTTGTGGTTCAGTGAGAGAACAAGTGTGTGTGAGATCCAGTGCAGTATGTAAACCGTTTGACATCAGTGTTTGGGCTTTCTTTATGAGAACATCTGCGACAGCTGCCCTATAAATTCCCAGTGTTGAGAAAACAGGAACAAAAAATTACAATTTTGTATGGCAGTGTACCATGGCGAGAAGCAGATCCAGTTGTGCCTCATCTGCAGAGCCACGGCCAACGTTTAGGGAAAGTCAAATCGGGGATGGAGAACTGAGACGGTGTTACTGTGTGTTTACACTGACTGTTCTGCACAGCAACAGACAACCTTAAAGTCACTGATGGCCATCACGTCCACCCCAAAGGACAGACAAACACACATCTTCACCTTGCTTTTTCTGTATTTCTGTATTTTCTTCAGACCACCAAGACCACCAAGTCTCGGGTCTTTCATACTGAATTACTTCCTTTCTTTCACCTTTCTTGCACCATTTCCTCTCAAATCTGAAATTAGATAAATTGTCTCATGAATGTGATTTGAAGTTAGCTCATGAATGCGATTTTAAAGGGCTTTAATTTTGAAATGCTAAATCAGAATGTCCTGGTTCTCTCTGAGTGACACCTTGAGGTGGTGTGCTGTTAACCTGAAGTGAAATTATTTTGTAAATTTCCTCGAAACTCTCATCTGAAATTAGACAAATTGTCTCATGAATGTGATTTGAAGTTAGCTCATGAATGCGATTTTGAAGGGGTCAGCGTGTTATTCTCTTGACTGCTGAGCAATATTGGTTGATTGCATGATGCTGTTGTGTTTCCCCTATAAGACTGCCTTCGGTGTCAGTGCTCACTCAGTCAATTACGTTTTTGTGACAAGACTACCCCGATAGCCACTTGGCAATAAACGCGACAGTAAGGCACTATATAAGACTATATTAATTAAATAGAAATGGTTTAAATAATAGAAGCCATTTAAGGTATAAAAAGTATAATGCAGAATAAAAATAAGCATGTGAGTAACAGTATTGTTCCAAACAGTAAGTGCACATGACATTACGATAGTGCAGTTATATTATTATGAAATAGCCTGCATATAGGATGACAACGTTTTACAATTTGCATGTAGGCCCATTTTGTACATAATGACACATTATGAATGTGCAGCATAAAACTTCAAAGTACTGTGAGCAGCAGCAATACATCCACATATCATTTTATTTTATTTATGTATATATAGGCCTAGTCTAAATTGGTTACTCGCTTCTCCTCAAATTTTAATGCAAATATTGTTTTTAGTGAATCAACTTTAATATTATTTCCATCAAAAAAAAGATAATTTAGATTCTATCCAGCACTTTCACCACAATTCCTGATATTGTTATTGTGTAACGGAAATAATTGTTAAGGGAAAGAAAGCGACTGAAACAGACTTTAAATATTTAGAAAATATTTTTTACGTGATTTGTCATTTTTAGAGTAGACATTTAACGTTAAATTGTATTTGAAATCGAGGAAATGCGTCGAAAGTGCGTTACTCGTTGTTGAAATAGATAAACATTCAGCAAGCAGCAGTGGAGCTGCAGCTGCTCCTGCTGTGTCTGTCTCCCTCTTACACACAGTCTATGGGCCTGTGCCTTTTCGGCAAATTAATGAACTTAAACGGATGATAAAGTAAAAGCCAACACTCGGTTTCTCGTTCTACATTTGTCGCCGCCCTGTCTTTTGCTCTATAGGTTAGCTAAGTTAGGCTAATGAAGCTAGCTAGCATGCTACAGTGACTTTTCCTCCACACGAAGAAGAGGAGGCAGGACATGGCTTCATCTTCTGCAGCTGAAAAAGGTTTGAAATGCACGTTTTTACCTGTTGCTACATTTCAGCTGGACACTGGTTTACACAACTCTAAGGCTGCTCAAAGCCTCTGCGGCTAGCTAATAATTAGCCATATTTCCACCAGGGACAACAACTTAGTCACTCTTCAGTCATAAGACTGATTCGATCGATAGGACACACCCGTGTTTAGATGGAATGAACTAGAATGCTATAAGTTTCATAGTCTATTGTAACGTTAGAGAATATAATGGTAGGAAAATGCATCCCCAATCCCTTCATGAAAATATGGTATTTTATTATGTAGAGATGTTTTGCTATCTTTCCTGTCTATTATAACTATACCCACTTACAAATCACACTAATGCTGCCTTAAACACACCCCAGTAATATCCAAACTATCTGTGTGCCTTTGGTAAAGTATTTTTTGAAATATATATTGCTAAGAACAGTTAACTAATAATTGTTCTTACTTTATAGCAACGTGGCTTGAAGGTGAGATGTGTCTGGCTCCTGACCCGAGAGATGGCTCCCTGCGAGAAACCACCATTAAGAGACTGACCACCTCTCATGATAGTGAAACCACAGCTTGGGTGGTGTTCACCGACCATAGTAAAGATGCAGAAGAGGAGGAAGCTGTACCCGTCTCGAAACTCATGAGACCAGGCCCCAATCACTTCACCCAGGAGAAACCTTTGTTTCCCAGCAGCGTCACAGACACCAGGCTATGTGTCCCCTTAGAGTTAAGTGATGTTGATGGGGACAGAGTCCCCTACACCATCAACAGATACCTGAGGGATTACCAGAGAGAAGGTATCAGTTTCATTTACAACAACTACATCTGTTCCAGAGGTTGTATCCTGGGGGACGACATGGGCCTGGGAAAAACTGTCCAGGTACAAAGTACATTAGCTTCACGTCTATGTTCAGAATTGTTTAAATTATGTCTGCATGCTTTTCTCACATGCCTGTCTCTCCACCTCTATGATTTTGTCTCAGGTCATTGGTTTCCTTGCTGCTGTACTGCACAAAACAGGCACGTGGGAGGACATCGAGAACAACAGGCCTCAGTTTCTGTGGAGTCAGAAGTCCTCCAAGCAAAGTAGACCCCAAAAAGTGAGTATTGAAATAAGCTAGTTACAAATGGACAGTTCATGAATTGTAAAAAATGTGTAGGGTAAATAAACAGTTTATTTTTATTTTTTTTAAACTACCAGGCGCATTCAATCATGTGCAGCGACAGATATGAGTATTGATTGTTTCATCCTCACAATTTGGGTATCTCCATGATCTGTTCTAGGTGTTCCTCGTTGTGGCCCCGCTGTCGGTGCTTTATAACTGGAAAGATGAGCTGGACACATGGGGCCACTTCCAGTGTGTGGTGGTCCACGGGCTGAGGAAAGAGGAGGAGCTGGCTCGCATCAAGAAGGGGCGCATCGAGATCGCTCTCACTACCTATGAAACTCTGCGCCTTTGTCTGGATCAGTTTAATAAGTAGGAACCATGCTCGACACACACATACACATCAAACATAATAAATTACGTGTTTTTTGTGTGCTTAAATATGTGATCAATTCGTTTTTGTCATAGTATTTTTTTTCTGTGACTAAAACATACCTTTGCCCTCTCTTTTGCAGCATAGACTGGTCTGCTGTGGTTGTGGATGAGGCCCACAAGATCAAAAATCCAAACTCTCAGATCACTCAGGCCATGAAGGACCTGAAATGTAAGGTCAGAGAGCTTTTTGTTCGTGTCGTTTAACTCAACTCTGTGTAAAGTCTTCTCTCAGGCCGTCCTCGTCTCTGCTTCATTGGCAGTAGATTGAATTGTATCACAATCACGATGAGCTGCTAAAACATAGTTAGCTTAGCTTAGCATGGGCCATGCTTTTGATGCTAGCTCTGCACGTCTATTTTCATCAGGTCAGAGTTGGCCTCACTGGCACCGTCTTACAGAACAACCTCGAGGAGCTGTGGTGTGTCATGGACTGGTAGGTTAAGAGACTTTTATGTTACAACACATTTGTCATTTGCGTAGTTAGAAGATTTCAGTCATTTTGTTCCCTGTTGAGGAAGTGATGTGATTGCTGAAAATAGCTTTTTTTTACCTTTTAAATACTTTTTCTTTCTATTCAGGGCCTTACCTGGTTGTCTCGGCAGCTTAGGAAATTTCAAGAACGAGATTTCAGATCCGATTGAGCAAGGGCAGAGGCACAGTGCAACCAAGCGTGCCCTAGCTACAGGGAGGAAGACTGTCAGGGCCCTGGTGAGGAAGATTTCCCGCTGTTTCCTCAGAAGGACTAAAGCTCTCATCGGGGAACAGCTGCCTAAGAAGGATGACAGGGTAAGCTTGTTGAAGTCAAACCGGACTTCTCCTGAAACAAATTCACCAGCTACACGACAACAATCCGTCATCGTAAATATCCAGATGACTTTCTATAAAGTCTGAAAGCAACACTCAAAAGAAACTCTGTGATGTTGTGTTTTCTCCCAGGTGGTATATTGCTCTCTGACGGACTTCCAGCAGACTGTGTATCAGACGGTGCTGGACACTGAAGATGTGACATTAATGCTGAGGTCTTCAGAGAAATGTGACTGTCAAAGCGGACGCACCCGCGGAAGCTGCTGCTACGAAGTCAGTGCACTGCTTTCACCGTCGCGGGAATTGTAATGGGTTTAAGTTCGTACGGGTTGAGCTGTTTTCCACATAAATGAGTGAAATCCATCTCATAATTGACTCGTATGTGAACATTTTTTAGGGGGGTCAGATTCCCTAAATCAGACAAATATATTTCTCTGTGTGATTCAGGTGAACTGGCCCTTTAGTATCTAAGCGGCGCTGACTCATTCTACTTTTTAGATACAGCGTACTGCAATTGAAAACGCAACATTTACCTGTTACCATCGTCCAACTGACCCTTTTTAACTTGGCATTTGAATGAAAAACTTTCATATGGTTAAAATAATTAATAATATCGATTTATTTTATTGCAGAGAAACGCGGAAGGTGCGCAAATGAAGGGGCTGTACTTCAGTTACTTGGCCATATTGAGGAAGGTTGCCAACCATACAGCACTGCTTCAGTCCACTGCAGGCTCCAGCAAGAAACAGGTAGCCCTATAACCGATCTACTACACTGGTTCATTAGAGATGTCTCCTGGACAGTTTCTTTACAGACTGAGGTCACACCTTCTAGTGCTGGAGTTGGTTCACCGTAACAACGATTTTGTGTCTCCCAGGAGAAGTATGTGGGTGCCATCTGTGCAAAGGTATTCCAGAAGTTTCCAGACTTTGTGCAGAGATGCAAAGACAAAGCATTCGAAGCGTTGTCGGACCCGATGTACAGTGGAAAGATGAAGGTATAATTCGGGAACGGAGGCTCAGTCACCTGCTCGTCGTTGGCCGTTTCAACAAATCTGTGTTCCTTTCAGGTTTTGCAGAAGCTGCTGAAACATTACCTGCAGAGGAGAGATAAAGTGCTTCTTTTTTCTCTCTCAACCAAGGTGAGAGCTGTGTTTATTGAAATCAGAATGTTTGTGTGTTTCACTGCAATGGTCTAAACGTTATTTCGTCTCGCCGCAAAATCTTTGGTCGGTACTGAGCTTTACACTCGGTCTCATCCACTCAGCCTTTCAACACAACAACAGGCTTGAACACACGGCCCTTAATTGCCACTGCTGTTAGAGCAGATTACTTGTCAGCACAAAAAATAGTAGCAGGATGCATGGTTTTCTTCTGAAACACAGATTAATAAGCCTTTGGGTTCATAAGTAAGGGCTATTAGAGTTTTAAAGACAATTACACTCTGCAGAGTCTAATGGTTGCTGTCACCAGAGACGGTATGATAACATTTCTGGCTGCTATGAGGTCATATTTTCGTGGCTTATGTTTTGCTTTTTTTGGTAATCATAGAGTCCACACAGTTTTGACCCGTATGGTTTATCTATAAATACCTAGGCCTGGGGATTTTCTGTTTAGTTTTACTCTACATTTGTTAGTCTAGCGTTTACAAACCCTTTCAACCTCGACGATGAGTGAATTCACATGATGCATGTAGAGCTGTCAGTTTTTTTTACACGGTTGATTCGTAGTGCTTTGAACCCTCCTTAATTGTTTGTTGTGTTTTGGACCTGTCAGCTGTTGGACGTGCTGGAGAGCTACTGCATGGCAGAGGGGCTGGACTACAGCAGGCTGGACGGAGCCACCAAAGCCAAAGAGAGACTCCAGATTGTCAAAGAGTTCAACAGCTCCTCTCACATCAACCTCTGCCTGGTTTCCACCATGTTAGTCAAACAATAGCAATCATATGAGTAGTATTTTCTCAGATTTCCCATTTATTTATTACCAGTAGTGGTGCCTATTTTAAACCTTGAATCTGCAGATAACGGGCTCTTTGTTCCATCAGGGCGGGGGGTCTTGGTCTTAACTTCGTTGGGGCTAATGTGGTTGTGCTCTTCGACCCCACATGGAACCCAGCCAATGACCTCCAAGCTATTGACAGGTAGGTTATTGGCCATGTCTTGAATTTACAATGTATTTTATTCTGTTGCTGCTTCTCTCAACTGGCTTCAAAAAGCGGTGTAGCTGCCAGTAAAGCGTACCTAGTCATTAGTCATATTCACATGCAAGCATATAGGCTTTTTACTATTTGTATGCATGATGCCTGTGTGTTGATATGTTTGTGTCTGTCTTCAGGGCATATCGTATTGGCCAGTGCAGGGACGTGACTGTTCTCAGGCTGATCTCATTGGGGACTGTAGAGGAGGTTATCTACCTCAGACAAGTTTACAAACAGGTACCAGGTCATTATAGGCGCGCGCACACACACAAATCACATAATATGGGGAAAAATACTGAATTGCTACCAGTGCTTTGTAATATGAGCTCAGTGCTCTGTGTCAGTATCTCTGTCAGTAATGTACTGTTTCTGCGCCGCCTTTCCCGTCCTCCAGCAATTGCAATGCTCAGTTGTGGGCAAGGAGAGTTCGCGGCGGTACTTTGAGGCAGTGCGGGGGCATGGCATCCACAAGGGGGAGCTGTTTGGGATCAAAAACCTCTTCAGGCTGCAGACCAAAGGGACATGCCTCACCCGGAAGATACTAGAGGTTAGATAGCCTGCACGCCTTTTACTGTTTGCTTGCTTGATGTTCTACTGCGGCCTACCGTCTGAACTCACCGCCTCCAGCTGATTCATGTCCCCAGTCACAATGCAAAGTCTCACAAAACGGTCAAGAATGTACTCGTATGTGGTCATGTGGCAGTAGTAATGTGTCGTGTAGTAATGGACACCCTTAACTCTAAGTATTTTTGTTCTGATATAGGAATAAGAGAGGCATGTTGCACTTACTGTTGTTTTTGAGTATCAGAACGTCTAAAAATATCACGTGCTGGTAATAAAACTATAACTAGCAAAAATGAAAACTAAAAGATAGTCTTTTGTTGATGATTGTAACATAATTCAATTGATGTTATTGTACAATATGTTTTGATAAATGTGTGTCTCACTTTCAGCGAGAAGGACGAGTGGAGGCCGGTGTGATGACCAGCAGCACACACACGGGCGAAGAGAAGGAGGAGGAGGAGATGAAGGCAGTTAGCGTGAGTAGCTCTGCTGCTCTCAGAGACCCAGAACATAAGGGCACTCGTCTTCCCATCGCTCACTCCGTCGTCTCCCCCTGGGCGACCCACTCCTCCTCCCATTCCCATGTGAACGATACCTCAAACAGGGTCCTTCCTGTCCGTCAGTCAACCAACTCACGCGATCTCATTACAAACTTTTTCCGCCTCAGCTCAACTCTTCTTTATTGCTTCCTCCATTCTTCTTTGTCTTGTCATTTTCTGGTTTATTATTCCAAAACGTCCCATTTATGAGGAAAAATGCTTCTACTATGACAAAATTGTCAAAATGAGATGAATTATGTTACAGGAAGAACATGGAGAAAGTGAGAATCTGGCCAAAATCTTTCTCGTCAGTATCACATACTTGCGCTGCTGGAGGCTTTTAAAGGTGGCTGTAAAAAGTTTGTAGTTTCCTTACAGCAGTTGTGGTCAGCTTGAGTTCAGGCAGTTACAATAGATTCATATGGGGCCTTTTGTTTATAGTAGGAAAAAGTTTTAAAAAAATGTAAATCTCTAAAACCACTCCTGTTTTAGTCGCCATATCTTCAGCATAAAGCTCAATACTCTGTCTTTATGTCACAGTATCATCGTCCACAGACTTTAAAGCTCCCTTTAAGTAGTAGTATATGCTTAAAGTGAGTGTTTGCAGCATATTGAACATAGTATTTTTAGAAATTTCTATGGAGGTTTTGAATGCCTAACATTTTTAAACTCAATTCTTTGTATTTTAGCAGAACTGAAGGATGAGGTTCTCTCTGCCTGCTGTGTGAAACAGCTGTGTGTAATTACTGATCTGTCCTAATGGAAGGAGCAGACCACACTGACGCCAATCTTCTGCTTTTCAGCTATTTATTTACACAGTGATACCCCTTATCATCCCGTTCCCAGCTCGGCCCTTTTTTTTTTTTTTTTTTTTTTTACAGGGCTGCTGCTCCACTGAGGCCTTTCAGATTCTTTCAAAAATACAGAATCCACTGGGGTGCCTTAACACGCACAGGGAAAGGCCCGAGGCGTGTAGGCACCAACACGCACACTAGTGCAGCACAACTGGGGAAGAGTCATCTAGTTGGCAAATTTTGTGAAATTAGAATCACATTGGTGGTCGTTCCCATAAAGGCCCATTCGTATAAGTCCAGGAAATGTCATGATGTTTTATTCTTGTTACTCCGTGATGGGGGGGGGGGGGGGACATGTCACGTTGATATTTATTGTTACGAACATCTGTTTTGTACTACACAATATAATCTCACATGGGCTGGTCCACTGAAAGATGGCACAAACAAGGGAGTGTGCAGCCTATTTGTGCTGTTGTGTAGCAAAATCATTCCCATACAGTTAATTCAAATTAATTCCTTGTTCTCTCGCAATACATGCCCCGCTTTCTATACCAATCTGTCGCTACTTTTCTTACCCTTTTATTTAAGGAACCTGGAGAGTCTCCGCCTACAGACGGCCCGGTACCAGATAAAGAACCAGCCAAGGAGAAAAGAGGTGCATCGAAGGTCCCCAGAGGGGTGTTGGACTTCAGCAGTGGAAGTGAAGAGGATGAGGATGAGCAGGGTCTTAAGAGGAAGGCATCAAGCCCCAGTGCAGTGGATGGCAACATGGGTGGGAGTGCTGCCACTGGTCCTGGTCGAATGAGTCTCCTCCAGCACGGTTTCTCCAGGCTCCTCGAAAGGGTCAAAGAGAAACCAGAGTTGGCAGAAGGGGACAGTAGTCCGGGTGTCGACGAAAGTCCCTCCGAGGATGATGCTGAGGATCAAAAGATGGAGAGTACCTCCTCTGGCATCTGCAAGAACTCCAGTACTAGAAATGGCGCAATCTGTCTCCCTAAATTGGGACTGAAAACGTTGGACATCTCTAGCGGTTCAGACAGAGAACACAGGGAGGATGGAGATAGAGGGAGACAAGAGAGGTTTCCTCTGTTAAAACAAAGTGATGATGCTGTAAGAAAGAGATGGGGCCTGAAAGGGTGGACAAATAAGAAAATTACACTCGATGAGGAAAGCGATGAAAATTTCTCACCGGACAAAAAGAAACCGAACAAGCTCAAAACTCCAGTTCCAAAAGCGCGCCGCTTTGAGGGCTACTCGGATGAATCTGAGGACTTGGACATAGAAGCAAAGACGTGGCCCAAGAGGGACCCTTTAAATTCACATGGTAGAGGAGGTCACCGTGGGAGAGAGAGGCAAAGTGCTAGTGTTAGGGGCAAGGCCAGATCCAAATACACAGAAGACATAGATACATTCACGTCTTCGGAAGATGAACACACTCCTGTTAAGAAAGGGAGATCTACGGGATGTCACTTCACATCTCCACAGACCAGATCCAGAGTTGAGTCGGCAAAAGGTGAGCGAAGAGCCGCAACGACCAACAGGACGGAGAGAGAAGCAGGGATGCCCAAAGCTGTTTCATTTACAAATCTGAGAAGTCGGACGTCCCCTGCGTCCAAAGGAAAGGATGGAACTATCGACGGTGTGCTAGGTGAGAAACCTATTCTTCAATACCTGTTTCTTATATGCCAATACATTTTATCATGAATTTTAACATGAATGATGTCTATTTCTGTTTAAAGGGGGTGTACACGAGGTGGCGTACACCCACTCTAACCAGCGCATGGTGGGCGGGAGCAAAGCAGAGGAGAGGATCAGCAGAGCTGCTGCACGAGACGTGTTTGAGCGCAAGATGTACTCTCAGCTCCCGGCTAATCACCTTCTAGGCACCCAAGAGGTACATACCGCCGTAACATTGGTCTGGTTCAGTGGTTCTTCAAATATATACGATATTGCTGTTGTATCTTGCCATCTTAAATTAGATTAGATAAATCAAATTACATTTGAAGAGCTTAACAGGAATATGTGTTTTTGGAGGATTACTCATCTAATATTCCACAAACTTCGCTGTAAACTGTGACATTTAGGCCTGTTTTCTACCAAAGCGTGTCTGGCAACTGCATATTGGCATGCAGGATAAGGCTTGCCAACGCTGTATCAGACACACATGCTCACTGTGAGTGAGAGTGGATGTAAACACATACTGCAGCAGTGCAGGTTAGCTATTTTCAAAGCGTGTTAACATCCACTATCATGTCAACATAAGCCCGCCACGTCTCAGCCAAAAAAATCTCTTGTTTGATTGTACTAGAGCTTGTCGGCGAGCCCACCAGACAGTCAGCCTTGCCCTCCTCCTGTCAGACCGCAGAAGCCCAGTGTGGACCATCCAGTCACCTTCGTCGGCAAGAGTGTGCACCACACCAGACACACCACCTTCATCATCGGAGAGACTCCCCAGGCCATACGCAGGTACTGAACGAGTCTCCGAGGAGGTGAGGTGAAGAGGAAAGAACAGAGGCAATGAGGAGGCTGAGAGGGAGAAAAACAAAGTCATGGGTAGACTTGAAGGAAAAGTGACTTCAGATAAGGGGGGGCATGCATGCTTTTAATGAAAATAAATCAGGCAAGTGGAGGAAAGGGGGTGTAAAGAGTGAGGTCGGAAGAGAGGAATTCCTGGCAGTGTAGGGAAATAGGCCAAAAGTGACCACAGATATGGTGTTGAGCGCCCCCACCTGGGCCTCAGGAATTGTGTGTGTGTGTGTGTGTGTGTGTGTGTGTGTGTTTAGCCAGAGACCACCTCTGAGCTTTCCCTCCTACCCACCTATTTCCCAGCATCATGCCAAAGATTACCCAGTTATGTTCAGGCCCAACAGTGCAAGAGTTTTTCTCCTCCACAACCACAGCCCTCCCGAGACGAACCAAAAATGATTGCCCGAGGACTCGCACACCGATGTACACACACGTCCTAACAAGCATTTACGCACATGTGCAGACACACGGTACTGAAATACACACCTCTGTCCTGCCGCACCCCCCTACCTTCCCATCCCAAACACTCGTATACAGACACTTTTATGGCTCCAGTCTCACTTCCCAAGAAGACTGGAGAAGACTGTATCTTTGCCCAGAGGCTCCCCAGGGAGTGAAAATACACACTAGTCATATTATATCCCCTCAATTAACCTCGCTGTGTACGGATTTAAATCCACAGGATTTTGTGTTTTACTGCTGTTTCTTTTTATTTATTGTTTTTCCAGTGAAAGCCACAACTGATAGTAACGCCACCACAATGCTGCTGTACCACCGGTGACTTTGAAGTAGTTCTGTCCCCAAGTCTGGTTGGACCAAAGTTATAATGACTCCTCACACTGAATGGCTGTCTGGATATGAGCCTGAATATGTGGAGACGTTTTCATCTTAGGCCAGGCCTGACGGACCTGCAAGATATCAGATTAACAGGATAGGCTTTGTGTTTTTTTTTTCTTTAAAAGATGTTGTGATTGAATGTATCTTACTTTATGCTCACATGTGCCAGGTTAAGGCCTCGTGCTAACTGTGCGTGTGTGAACATAGTGTTAAATTCACAGGATATAAGCAGGTGATAATAACCTGTTTTTTCTGTGCGTGGATGTTTTTTCACACTCATTTCCGTCTCTGCGTCCTCTGTGTGCTCGTGTGTACTGCAGGCAGCAGCTGGAGGAAATGGCAGAGAAATTGAAATTCTCCTCAGTCCATCAGTTTGCAGTGGAAATTCTGAGAGGAAACTCAACCCGGAGACTGGCCTGTCTACGAGAGTATTACACTTCACTGAACCTCCCTGCCCTGGCCAACACCATCACAAACAACTTCCCACAACCTGATTCAGCACAGACCTCCTCTTCAACTGTTACCTCCTCAACATCCTTCAAAGAGACCGCAAAATCTCACACACACAGCCGAACCCCACCAAGGGATGTTCCAAAAGCCAAGAGAAAGCCTAAACACACCGAGAAGAATCCTGAACCTAAAACTAAGCCTGAAGTCTCACACAATGTTCCCGTGCCACAGAAACAGTCTAGACACCCACAAAATGATGTCCCCGAACCCCAAACAAAGCGGAGAAACCCACAAAACGATGTTCTATCACCCGAGAAAAAGCGAAACGTCCCAGAAAAGAATGTGCTAGAACCTTTAAGTGATGTTCCGAGCCTTGAGTCAGAGGAGCAGGAGGAGACGGCCTGCAGTGCCAGAGGACATAAGAGGACAAAGAGGGGTAGTGTTTCTAGTTCTGGAGCCTTCAGAGCTGGTGGTGGTCTTGGCTTGGATCAGGCCAGCAGCAGTGGTCTGGGGTCTGCGGAGGCTACGGCTTTCCAGAACTGCACAGACAGACGTATCCCTTCTTCTCCTGACCTCAGCCATGGCAGGTCCACCACGTTATCCAAACCCAGAGCACAGGGAAGGGAGAAAGAGCAGAAAATGTCCTGCGGGACCAGTGAACCTTTTCAGGGCCAGAGAGAGAATTCTCTGACTTCTCCTCCTGAACAGGCCAAGTCCACCGGCGGTCATCGCTCCCTCCTCACAGATCTGATAGGAGACACCTCGATTCTCGACGATCTGTTAAAACCCAAACCCAGAGGTGCACAACGGAGGGGCACCCCAAAAACACCCCCCGCTCCCTCCTCCATGTCAGTAAGCACGTGTCTCGCCACACCTCCTCCATCCAGAATCACTCTCAATACGGACTCTGGTTCAGCAGGCATCATAGACTCTCCAAACAAACCACCTGTACACCAGGTGGTACCAAAGGGCAGTCGCAAAGACTTCTGGGACATCCTGAATGAGGGGAATGAGGAGAGCATCAACAGGTTAACGGACCCGGCGGAAGTGCAGAGGGTTTGCATCAACACTAACTTTGCAGCTCGAGGTAGGTCTGCAGAAGACGAGGGCAAGAGTCTCTGGAGGACTAATGAGAAGTTCCTGTGGAAGAAATAATACAGGAGCGACTATTAGAGTGTTGACAGTTTTCACCTCTGTACCTTTTACCTTTCTTTTAGTTCTAACGGAGATGTATAAAATATTCAGACTGGATATTTAAAGCAGGTTTTTCTGCTTTGGATTTTCTTAACAGATTTTCTTATTTTTAATTGTCATATTCTTTTTAGAATGTCTATTTTTATTTACTGTAATAACTTGAAAATATTCAGTGTTCATTGGATTAGTGAGTTACTAGCATAATGCTGACTGTTACTTGAATAAACAGGGTAAACAATCACTCTGGGAATTTAAACCTTTGTATATTTTATGAAAGTTATTGCCCTGTTTTTTTGCTTTATTTTTTGACAAAATACTCCTAGCACACACAACCCCTGGAGGAGCACTCTAATATGTCAGCACTGAGGCATTAACCCAAAAGGGAATAATCACAACAGCAAATATGTCTTTTAGAGCTGCAACTAACACGTATATCTGTCAACGATTACTCGTTGGACTGTAAAAGGTCAGAAAATACTGAAAAGTGTCACACTTTGTCTGACAGACTGTTTACAACAATGTAAGTCTTGTCAAATGCTTGGCATGTTTGCTATAAAAAAATAATTAAAACAGTCGATCTGTTATCAAAATGATTGCAAATTAATCATCTGCTTATCAACTAGTTGTTTGGCTCCAATATTCTATAAAAACTAGTTGTGTGTTTATGTCTCTAGTGTGCATGCTTAAAGGGTCCGTGTGCTCAAACTGTCGCCGCACCTGATATGTTGTTAAGTGGATGACAGAGAAAGCCCAAGCGGCTGTAGGCACTAGCCATTACCGTTATTGGACACCATTAGTGCTACCCGGGGACTGCTGGTGGCCCTACAGAGATATCACTTAAAACTCCCTAATGGCTGTTATGTCTCCGTCACTCTGAACACCTCACTGACTCCCACTTCCCGCCAGTGTGTGCATATTGTGTTGGAGTGTGCTTTCTCTGCACAGTGTTCTGCACAGTAATCTGATAGTCAAGCCCCCCCCCCCCCTCCCCCTCAGAGTGGAGGCTGCTGCGCCATTAGTGAAATAACACTAAGCGGTTGAAGACTCCGTGGAGCTGGGACAAGAGGGACGGGGGACTCGTTTCACACCCGTCCATCCACCTGTCCTCTCACACACTTAGTTAAAGTGTGTTCCAAACTCTGCCGACTGAATCATTTGCACTCCAAAAAAAACAAAAAAGTGACATATCAAACTCGTAGTTTGGCTCTTAATGTGAAAGCAGAGACGGTACAAGGTGTGCGTGCGTGCGTGCGTGCGTGCGTGCGTGCACATGCTGAAGCCCACAGACCTCTTTTAGCTGTTGCACTGAAGTAAATAGAACCCCAAAGAGAGCTGCTCTGTGTAAGCTTGTGTTTTGTTGAGCAGAAATGAGAAAGTGCTGATGGCTATCAACAAACAAGAGAAAGGACTACGTGCCTCAACAGAACATGCAGCTCTGTAAATAGTATGTGCATGTAGACCTTCTGGGTGGTAGTTCACGACGTATCTTCTCACACACTCGTGTACCGAGGCCACACATCTGTCACACCTGTTCAAATCACAGACGGAGGAGAATAAAAAGCCCTTTCTCTGTTCCCAACGCCCACACCCTTCCCTCTCTGCTTTTCTCTTTCCCGCAACTGAGATTTGCAGATTTCCTATCTGCCTTTTTGTGGTCATAGTCTGGTTCAAGTGAGATAGCAGAGAGGCTTAGCATTTTTACTGACAATAGGAAGGCCTCGCCAACTGACTGACGGCGGTTGGAGGCTAATGGAGGCCAGCTAGCACGGCTCAGTGGCAAACAAAGCTTTCTTTATCGATTGGGTTTTATTACGTGCCGTGGTGCTACTTGCCATACCTTGAAGGAGTCAAGAGAAATACCAGCAAAGAGACGGCGTGTTTTTCCACTTCTCCCATTAGTGTCTCCTCTCTTTGTGTCAAGGGCAGGGTGCGAAGTCTGTTTATATTTCCTGCCACTACAAACCCGGGTGTCTGTGAGGCTGCTATAAACTGGACGGACAGACGGAGCGGCAGAGGGGCGGCCCTGGCAATGTAGGTTTATTTGCAGAAGTCAGACTGTGACACTTAGTTTGATTTCATTTGTAAAAAGCTGTGAACGAGCGTTGACCCGTGCTGACCCGGGCCTCCAGTCGTCTTATGCTCAGGTTTCCATACATTCACTCTGCAATGTGTTAAGAAGGTCTGCAGGTTGTGGCTGAGTAAGAACTAGTACAAATGCATAAAACATTAAAGCCCCTACATAAGATATTTATTCAAATGAAATGAGCAACAAGAAAAGTGAATGGAAAAACAAGATATTTAGGAATCATTTCTTAAAGACGCTGAAAGAAAAAGATTTGTCAAATGAATCTTAATCCTCCATACTGTCTCTGTATTAATTGTTCAGTTGTCTTTTGGATAATGGCAAATATATACATTTTTGAGTATTTGTATAGCGAAATCTAAGCTCACATTTGAGTGAACCAATCCTAAGATTTTATTGAAATCCCTCTTGGGACTCTACCGTGTGCAGGTTGCACATATTCCCAATCACTCGAAAACTCGTCACGTTACAGAAGGCGATTAAACTTTAGTTTCACTGTGACGCTCAAAAACTGACTGACTTTTGTGTGGATGTGGTTTAATCAGATGTGATCGACGGTAACTAAACAACCCAGCGACTGTCTTCAAATTCTCATGTTACTGTAGCTAAATCCTGATTGGTGCACAGAAGTATGTGACATCACCAAGTACAGAAATCTCTCGTGTGAAATAACCCAAAACTGTGTGTTCACATGGGACCCCGTCACCCCATCATAGTAAGACGCTGATAATATAAATGAGAAAATTAATTTTCAGGGCCTAAGACTCAAGAAACATGTATTATTATCATTAGTGTGTGATTCTTCAAAAGCCCATTTCTAAACTACATTTGAAGGTTGTTTTCACCCACATAAAATTAAGCAAGTCTCTACGATAAATCAGGCCGATAGTACTACTACTTTTACCTAAATACATGAATAAATCAGGCAATGCAGAGCATAATACAACAACGTACTGTCTTTTGACTGTGTGGTCATTTGAGAAACCAAACCACGGAGATTTAGGACAGCAGTCAGATTAGTGAGCTTTACATGTTATTGCAACGACTGCCTTTTAGTTTGAACGGATGTTAAAATGCGGTGTGACCAGCTACGAAGATGGAATGCAGCGGGGTTCCTACATCCACAACGTCAGAAGTGGTGGGGCGCAACGGAATGAGTTGAGCAGAGCTTTCCCAGGGCCCGTCACTGCACGCGAACCGCAATCCCCAGAGCGGGAAACTCTCGGGACCATTGGTGACTCAAGTCGTTCACCTCTGCCGGTGTGGGGGAGGGGGGATATAATATATGAACTGTTCCATCATCAGAGAGGGGGGAAAAAACAGGCCGATACAAACCTATTGTATTTGACCTCACAGATGACGTCATCAGTTCCGTCAGGTCTTGGAGACGTAGCTGAGAGAAACAATGATACGGGATCAATCAATAGGCAAAATGTCTAACGTGCAGATCATACTTCACATATTGACAGTCATGTATTAGCTCTGACATAGTTTCTAAAAGGAAACAACAGTTTTTGACCTCAAAATCACCAAATGTCCTAGGTAGGATTTATACTTTATGAATGTGTTGCACACTTAAAAAAAAAAGAACATTCTTTTGTGGCCGGGGGTCGGGCCCCAACCCGGGATGCTGTGGCGAGGACTCAGCCGCAGGGCAACTGTAATAATGCAATTATCAATAAAAACTTGTATTTAAGTGACCATGTGTGTTTATAACGGAGCAGGAGAAACAGTTTCAATCAAAGGCCTATGAAAAGAAGTTTTATGTGACTCAGCAAGCAAACAACTACATGGGGGGGGGGGGGGGGGGGGGCCCTCCTGTTTTTCGGGAAAAGGGCCTAGGAGGTCTCTAAATGTTAAAAAAAGAGGAACGCCCCCCCCCTTCATTAGGAAATTACTCACCATTTGCCCCTCATTCCTATCCAGTTACCCGGGTAACTGCTAGCTGTAATTTGGGTTAATTCACTGGCTCCTGGGCCCTTCCGTTCCCCATTGTGCCCGTCCATAAAAGAGATATAACACAGATGCACACACACACACACACACTAAGTTTGAATGTGAATGTGGTTAACGCACACAGTAAGAGAGAGACTAATCCTCATTTTGTTTGCTTCACCTCAGCACGGCTGCAAATAGACCGTGCGTGTGAATATCAATGAATTGTGCCGAACGAAAGGTTAGATCTGCTCATTCCCAACACCTGTAAACAGCTGTGGGAGTGAGTAAGCGGTCGAATTATAGACAGAGCTGCATAATCGTTGAAGATAGAGTGCCCTGTATCGAAACTGTGCACAAAAAGCCACTTGTCTTCTCTGAACCTGTCCTGTCTTGAAGGTGGGAGAGACGGGGAATGGAGGGAGGCCTACTCTTTTGCCCCTTTCAGGAACAAAAGGAATGGAAAATTGTGTGTTCCCCCCATGGGGTAAATATTGAGAGAGCAGAGATATAAACGTACGGAAGAAAGGCTTTTCTGAGCCGCCTGGGTCTCTGTTGCTCTGCCAAAGGCCTGTGCGTCATTTGATCCATTGTTTAGTGTAGAGAGCTCTCGGTAAGCAAGCGGCTGCCTCCCTGCTCCAGCTGTAGCCTCTCTACTGTTTATGTTTGCAGGGCCCTTCGCCTTGAAGTGAGGCTATACAAGCAAAGCCTAGCCATATGGGAGCACTGGGCCGTCAGGGAAGTCACTGGCCTTTTCTTTTCCCTTTTCCATCCATCTCTCTCTCTCTCTCTCTCTCTCTCTCTCTCTGAAACTCTTCCCCCTTTTTTTACCCTTTCTCTTCCCTACCTTCCCGTCTCTTTTATCCTCTCCGTCCCTCTTTCCTTCAGTCCGGTTTGCTCGCCCTTGGCTGACGGTGCAGCCCGTCCCTGACAGCCTGCTCTCATGGAGAAGATGAAGGGTCGGAATTATCTTCTTGAGTTTAAAAGACCTCCGTCCTCCTGGATGGGGAGAGAAGTGGTAGGTATTATTACTCCTGTGAGAAATAATTACCCCGAAAAGCTCCGCTGTGAGAATGAATCTGCGTGCGGCTCGGCAGCACAGTTTGAGAGACAGGGTGGTAATTATGTCACAGAAATATTTCAGCTAGTATAAATATTCAAATATTTATACTGGTGTGTCATACTGACAAGCACAGCACATTCAGGGGATGGAAAACATCCAGGGAGAAAGCCACTGAGGGAAATATAGAGTCTAAAATGCATAGTGAATGTTAATAGCTTTTAGAGTTTTATAGCTGTCCCACTTTGAAATTCAGCATTAGTCTGTGTGTGGGGGGGCTTTCTTGATTCAACAATTACCATGTTAGATTTTTTTAACAAGCATTAAGATGAATGAGTTCCAGTCTGAAACTGAAACCTCTGGGTCAACCTGGACAATGATTGGTGCGACGGGTTTTTATGTGCGAGTGCGTGCTTGAAGGTTACTGGTCCTGACCGTGGCTCCTGGGTGGGCTGCGGTGGCTGTGTGCTTGTCTTGGATCATCTCTGGACCCTTCTGTTTACTGAAACAACAAGCAAGCAGTGTCCAGGGAGGAGAGAGGAGTCGCACAGGGAGCATCCTCGAAGGCAGCACCTCCACCACCACCACCCCCTGCTCAAACGCACACAATCTGCATTGCAGAGGCCGTCCTCGGAGCCCTGACCACCCACACAAGGTGCGGTCACCCAGTGAAACCAAAACGATGACTTGTCTTTGACCCATCTCTTAATAGATCTCTCATCTGCTAGGGGCGTCAGACATGTTGAAGCCAGCTTGGCTTAATATTTGTGCTAAAATAGGATCCCATTGATGGTAAAACCATTATCCTGCGAGTGCAGAGAAGCTCACCCACATTGATGCTCTGTAATGGAAGAGAACTATTTTGGCTACCTATAACCTGCTATTATGAGTGCAGTAATATTGACTTGTCAACTCTGAGAGCCTCATTTTGATGGTTGGAAGACTTTGAAAAATGATAAATTAAAAGGTGTTATGAATGTGTTTGCGCCACTAAATTGCAGATCACCTCAGGTGAGGAAAGTCCCCGCTCGAGAGCAACCAGGGTAAACAACTTTTGATTTCAGTAGCGGGTGACATACACGCTGCTCTGACTGCGGCTTTTAAAGAGGTGCAACTATGGGAACATTACAGTTAAAACACCTCCTGGAAAGTCCCAGTGGTTGAGAGCAGTGTGTTATTATACTGGTAGTTGAACTACATTTAAAAATACTTTTTTGACATCGAGCCATTTTTGTCAATTTGTGTTTTGTTTTGTACATGGACTCCTTTTTTCTGTTAAAGCATCTTTTGTTACATGGAAAGTATATGTTGTAGTATTCCTCCTGAAAGTAACTTTGTAGTTCTATTATGTTTAGTGTGACATCATTTGTAACAACTGACATCCCATTTGCTCCATGGGAATATTTTCAATGTGTGAGTCTTGATTGTTCAGTCTCTTCACGAACCAAAGAGCAGCGACTGTTTGACAGTTTGACAGGACACAGGTTTAGATAATCAATCAGAAATAATCTGACCTGTCATCTGTTTAAATTAAGTGTTTGTGCGTGTGTGCGTGTGTGTGTGTGTTACCGTAACCAGGAGGCCTTTTGAAACCTTTACATTTGGCTCCCTCTAGTGGTTATACTGCATGTTACTGATCACAGGAATTTCTCACTATATTGTGAACACATTAGGGTTTAATACCATGTTTTAAATTAAATAATTTACGTTAATCTTAAAACCTTGTTTTTAGAGAATATGTCATACAGCAATTATAAAGGCTTAAGGATAAAGGGTGCCATGTGTTGTACAGGCTCAGATATTACATATGTTTGGAAGAGAGTCAGAGCAAATGTTTGCTTATTTGTAAACTGCTTTCCCATAATATTTTAAAAGCACTCTGGTAAGATGTTAATGTTTCCAAAGGTAACTCACAAGTCTTCCTCTGGCTGCAGGCTGCTCCTCAAGGTCTCAGTGTGATTCACGGATGCAATGCAAGTTTTTACTGCCGATAGCAATTTAAAAACTGTATTACTTAACTTAACTGGCCCTTCTGAAGTGTGTTAGCTGTGTATCCACTTTGAACAAAATACATTAAATCACACCATTTCACTCTTAGATTTGATTGGGTTATGTAACTCTACAGACACTACTCTAAATCAAGAATTGGTGATAAATAAAAATGTACAAAACATTATTCAAACCGAGATAACTTTATTTCAATTGTAACTTTATTTATCGTAAACATCTTTATGTTGGAAGATAATACACAATATGTTTACTGATCGGAGTGGACCAAGATTAGGTTTAGATCTATGAGTGAGGAATCGCCTCCTCACTGCTCTCAACATGGTGATGGCTGAGCCGGCGGCTAGCAGCTAGCGGTACTAACAGAGCTCACAGTGCAAACAACGGCAACAGTGCTGATGGCGCTATCAGTATTAAGCTGGGGGGGGGGGGGGCGCTGTGAGTCGGGCGGCGTTATCAACAGTAACCGCTGTATGAGTGCAGTGAGGAGGCACACAAATGGAGACTCACATGCACTAACATGCTAATATTTCCGATGTGCACAATTCCAAAATATGAATCTTATACACTACAGGCCTATTTCAATTAATGTGGGCGTTTGCTAATAAAATTAGAATTACAACCTACAATATTGCAATGGATTTGCTTTTATGTGATTATCTTTTAATTGCCTTTGACCTTAAGAGGTTTATCATTTAATTCTTTGATTAATAATTGTGATTTTTATCTCGGTATTGTTGTAAAATTGCTGTGCCTGTCTCAATAAGCATCAAATGGGAAAAACAAAGACTATTCTCATGCGAAGACGAGTTCGACTTTGCCTTTTTCAAACAGACAAGCCAGGCCATCTTAACTCCCGGTCACTCTGACCTCCCCGCTCTCTTTCTCGAAAAACTTTTCCTTCTCCCAGCGCTATCTCTCATGGGGAGGATCATTCATCACAGCTGTCTAAACAGCCCGGTCACCCCATGATTAGTGACTTTTGTAAGTCAGCCGTCTCAGTAGCACATACTAATTCACATGGTTGTGTGTGTGTCTGCCTCTGCACAGATGTCTGAACATATTTTAAACACTGTACATCATCCTGTAAGCAGCAGGCCATCAAACCCCGCGTCTCCGGTGTTTCTTCTCGTTTCTCAGGAACCAGGTAGAAGCTCATCAGTCCTCTTCTGCCCCACAACTGGTTTAGTGGATATCAGAATGGCGACTGACACCACAGCAAAGTCGTCTGGTGAGTTACTCATCTGATCAAATGCTTCCCCCATCTCAGAGGGGAAAGGAGGATGCTAATGATAGTTACAGGTGTGTGTGCGTGTGTGTGTGTGTGTGTGCATCTTACAGCATAGTGTGTGTGTGGTGAATAGAACAGGACAGTTCCTTCAGTTTTGCTGAAAAGTCACTTATTTCACTTATATTCTTCTACAAAATTTATGAATATGAGGAACTGGGCATACAATAAGACAGCTCTGTCACGAAGCTCATTGTGTTCAGCTTTTGTTTACATTTTCGGAAATGTGTGGAACCAACTATGTCTTGCTGAGGTCTTAGTTAATAAAGATGGTGTAGCACTGGACAACATAATAGTGAGAGGTGTTTCCATATTTTGTGCTCCCTTTTGAAATACATGATGGGGGGACCAAGATATTACACATTTCAGTATAATGGAGTCCAGTAAAACCTCACCACCACTACTATTACCTTGATGTTGAAACATATCATTTAATAAACACCTCTATGAAACATGGAACATTATTGGCATCATTAAAGTAGATTTATGACCGCACAGCATTGCATTGGATCGCATTAGATTGTACAGGTGTAACTGCACACTGAATATTTGGAATAAAGCAGAGATAAAGCAATCCCTGCAAACATCAAGAACTGAGGAAAATAACACAATTATTAAAGGTGCCCCTGAGGGTGGCTTGATACCCATAATCTAACAAATATACAAACAAATAGTCCTACGGCACCTGATAATAACAAGTTCTTCAAACAGTCACCACTATATTTGAATGAGAAATAGAAAACACAGGCTTGCCGAACACCAGTTCTATAATTATTTAATTTGATTTAGAGTGTGAAATATTTGGTTCCTGGTTATTTCTCCCCTTTTCTAAAGCTCTCTTCTTGACGTAGTCTTGTAGGCCGAGTAGTATAGAGTCCGCATACAGAATTTTTAGAGGAATAGACTTCAGCAACCAGCCCTGTAGGCACACACACACACACACACACACACACACACACACATATATATATATATATATATATATATTAGCACTAGGACAAATCAGTCTCTTTCCACGTTACTTGGCGTTATTTGGCATTATCAGAGGGTCTTACCAGGACTATGTGACAGACACTGCCGTATGTTTTATCTCCAGCTCTGAGGTACTGCAAGGAGCTTTTTACAAAGTCTCCTGGTGACAGAGTCACTATGTTGGTCTTTTGGTAATCTGCCATTCGAGTGGAGACCCCAAATGGAGCCACCGCCTGAGAACATGAGGAGAATAAAGAGAAAGCTGTGACAAAATCAACTTCTTCGATTCGCAGTAAAGAGCTTGAGGTGGAGTCTCAAACCAAATCCTTGTACCTGTATAAGAATCCCTTTATCTTTGTATTCAGCCTGGAGACCTTGAGAGAATCTTTCCACAAACACCTAAAGGAAGGAGCATGAGTGATCATACGGTGTGATTTAGGAAGAGTAGAGGTTTACTCGCGATGCTGTACTGACCTTAGATGCAGCATACAGGGTGTACAGGGGGAATGGAATGGAGGCAACTCCTGAGGAAATATTCACAATCACCCCTTTTCCCCTGTAGACATGAACTTACATTTGTGGCCAGAAAGTCAATGTTAATCAGCATGTTAGGATTTGATGTTATTGCACATTACATCTAAGGAAGAAAACATGGAAACCTGTTCTCCATTCCTGGAAGGATTATTTTGCACATCTGGAGAAAAAAAAGAATATAAGGTCAGATTTGAGACAAGGGTTGACAGAGTTCATTTGTGTGTGAAGAAAACAAAGGATCCAACTGACTGTCCATCGCTTGTCCTCAGACCACCATCAGGCAACATTCATACAGACAAAAACTATGCAAGCTGTTGACAATTGGATGTTGTTGGCTTGATAAAGGTCTGAGGACCGAAATGTTGTTAATAAAGTGATTTTAAGGTGTGTTTTGAAATTGTGACCTAGAGTTCATTTATTTGAAAAAGTAACAGAAAATACACACGCTTACCTTGGCCATAGTTTTCACATTGCAGTTTATCACCTTTGTTATTGTCTGAAAGCATAAATAAGCATGTGAAAGATGTTAGTAATTATAGTTAAGGGGAAATAAATGTTAAGAGATGGATATACAGTTAAGATTTAAAGAAAATGTGGCTCCTTAATTCTAAAAAGTTAAAGTTAGGGGAATTAGTCATTCGTCAGTAATACAAAGGGAAGCAAGTCATATGGAACATACTTTGTCTTTTCTTATGTTTTATGAGCAAAGAAATGCATTTAACCAATTTGTTACAGCACAAGGATACACACAACCCATGCTGGTGAGTAACACGCAATGTGAATATAACATTTGTTTGTTTACAGGAAAACTTCACAGGGCCCCTAAGACTACTGGCACCCCACTGACCTGGTCCAGCTCGGCACACTCAAGGAATTTGCAGGGGATGACGCTGGGCAGTATGCCTACATTGTTGACTGGGGGAAAAAAGAAGATCTGGTTTCAGGGAAAAAAGAAGAGGCAATATATGTTTCAATTACTAGATGGAATTATAAAACAAATAAGTAAAACCTAAAACCCCAATGTTGAGGCCCCGAAGCTGCTCTTCAATTTCACTGAAGACGTCCTTCATTAAGTCCGTTACTATCACTTTCACCCTCTGCCCTGTGGTGGCACCTAGGACGAACGGAAATGTGGGGTCAGCAGTTTTATAATAGATGACCTAACAGCATATCTGTGAATGTAATTCAAGTTTTAAAAGCAGACACAATTAAAAAAAGTAATTACAGAAAACAAGTTTTCACCTATTTCCTTGGCCACCTGGTCCAATGTTTCTTTGGTTCTGCTCATGATGACCACGTTCATCCCTTGCTCAGCCAGCTGAGGGAAGCAATAGTGCAGTGGTAGGATAAATACAAAAATAAACATGAAAAACGTTTTTAACCTGCATGATGAGCTGGAGAGGAAAGAAAATAGAAATACGTAAAAAACTGCTACACATAAAAACATTATGTGTTTTTATTCTTTGAAATTGTATTCACTTTTGGTGTCCTATACTTTCATTTCAAGCACAGAAATGCAAACACAAGCAGTGCTATTAAAACAATAACTTACCTCAAACGCATATGCTCTTCCTATTCCCTCTGAAGCACCAGTCACCACTGAAACAGGGATGCAGGGATTATTGGTCAAAATGAATTCCACTAGCTGTCAGATTCTCCTGCAGTTTCCATTCTGAACACCAGAGGCACCGTGAATCAGAGCTGCACTACACCAACTCTCTCGCTCTGCTGCCAGACAAATCCCAGGATTGTGTTTGTTTACACTAAAGCCAACCCGTTCTGTTCTAACAGACTGTACGAATACAGCATGTTCTCCACTTCTGATAAAGAATTTGCAGAGAACAAACAGGTCCTGCTTGTTTCTGAGTGTCCGCTACTCTCCCATTTCCTTCTGACCTGATTACAGACATTAAGTAATGGGCATCAACATTCAAACAAAGCCTCTTTTTTCAGGACTGGAATTTTAGATTAAATTAAGCCAAGATGACTTTGGATGGGATGGGAGCCATTGTTTTGAGCTGTTGTCATCATGGGAGTAAGCTAAATAAGTGATCGGAGACTGAAACTGCTCTCATGAAATTCTTTTTAGAGTTGGATGAATAATCCTCTCCTTACAAATGTGTGCACAGTCATTAGTTTCTTACAAATTTAGAACATGGTCAGATGACAAAGCTCTATTATTATTATTATTATTATCTTCAGGCGGATCATGCGATCGGTCGAGTGCGTGCATCCTTGAGTGAGTGAGTGAGTGTGGACCTTATGTCTGTCCCTGGCTAATCTCGCATCCTGCTGCAGCAACCTACATTATGTTTTGGGTGCCCAGTTTAGGCCGCATGCTCAAGGACCTTTCGTTGTTGCAGTGACTCACACTTCCTCAAAACACCTCTAATTGCCTTTTGACACTTCCATTGACTGCCTGCTGGCTCCTCCATCCTTACTACGCTTAATCAGCCCCCAGTTCGTAGGGGCCGCTAGTGAGAACAGAGCTGAGTGCATCTCAACGGGCTCCCGCATTTTAAGTCCTCAATGCTGCAATTTGAAGCTAACATTATGCTAGCCATGTTTAACAATAATCAGAGCATCGTATCAAAAGCACATTACTAGGTTAGGAAACACTAATTAACAGTCAACTGCTCCTGACACAGACAGAGTTTCATAGTTTACAGTATTACATTACAGGAAAATATTTTCAAATATATGTATGAAATTGGAATGTATAATTTTGGGATGGCTCAGTGTCGAACTGGCTGAATTGAATAAACAAGTACACAACAATAATCTGCAGTCAGACATCTGCCTGGAATTTCCCTTTATACAAATGAGTTCTGTAAACTGCAATGGCCTGTGGAGGCATTTCTTCAGAGAGAAAGAGATACAGATACAACCACTTAATTCCTATTGGCTAATCAATATGACAATGTTAGATATCCCAAAGTCTTTAACAAAACCTTGTCTTTTCTTATATAAAATACATATACTGTAGGTTTCATTTTATTTTGATAATTGTTTTTTGATGATGTCACCAAATTTGTTGTTATTCTGGCACTACTTTAAGACCCTTTCTGTCCTTTTTGTTTCACCATAGTCACCGGTAAAGTATTAGATTCTACTCTAAAGGCAGCAAAGGGATCAGAGAAAGCGTGATGAGGCAGGAGGTCCTTGTTGAAAACAGTTTCCGTTGTCCACTCTGAATCCACATTGTGCAAGGACAATGTTTTCCTTGTTCCTTATCATACTCTATGCTGCTTCACATTGCTGATTAACAGAATGCAGTGCCATATAAGCCTGCCCTATATGCTGGAAAATATTTTTTTCTGCCCCTCAGACAGCCTGAGTCCGGTACTGCTCCAGATTTAATGGATAAGTCCTCTCAAGCAGTGACAACTGTGTCTACAGGAGATTTAAAAAAGGGGCAGTTCAAGTTAAACCCTCAACTCAATTAATGTACCTTCACAAGACAAGAGCAAATGCATTGATAAATAAACCAAGGTTTACCGCCTTTCTGTGAACGTTTATGTATTGATATTGTATTGATTGACAGTTTTCACAACAGTTACAGAGTGTGAAAATCCTGACCACGGTAAATACGTCAGTTGTAGTGTTTTGTATATTGAAGATTCAGATTGCTATATTGATAACTAATCGATACAAGTACTACATCTATATACTTAGTCTTAAAAAAAACATACTTTACTCAAATACACATACTGTTCAAGGCAAAGACACACTCACACGCATACATATGGTAAACATTCATTTAATTTATATGTCGTCCTCAGTTGACCCAAATCATCTTAGGCCACATGGAATTGAAAAGACTCAAATGTAGTTTCACATTGTCTGAGTAGAAATGAATGCAGAGAGACAGTGTTAATGCAGCCTAGGACATGTTCTCATGGCTGTTTCATTTATTCTGGAATGGAATGAAAGTGGACTTTAGAAAGAAAGGAAAGATCAGTGTTCTCTCTTTTTTTATTATTAGGTTTATTTACGCGCTGTGGGAGCCTGAATAACCTCTTCAGGAGATGCCAAAGGAAATATTTTAATTCGATGAGACTGCTCTGGGACCTGCAAATTCCCTTGTCAGGAATTTGTCGGTGTAATTAAAATGCACTGACACTGCCCTCAAGTTGATGGGATGCTTACGAGTTTGATTCTCTGCAACAGCCGGAAAAAGTAGTCGTGCCTTCCTTATCATCCTTAATCCGCCTCTGTCAACAGATGAAAAATGATCTAGCTAGGACAGGGCAGTTTATACTGCCGATAGTATTGTGTACTGCAATTGTCTTTTTTCTTCTTGACACCATCGACACAAGTTTGCCTCCCTTGTCATACAATTACTATTATTCAACTGCAACACTTTGGCAGTATACATTTAGCAGATAAACTCAAAATAAATGCTCTGTTATATTGAAGAAAGAAGTCATTTGAGCAGCAATATGTTTTGGAGATGAATAACGTTGATGAGATCTGTTTTTTTGCAAACAGCTGTAAGCACCTGCTCCACAGGTATGAACACGGGGTTTCAAAGGGAAAGTCAGGACTTGCCACTTTTGGTTTAAAAGTTATGCAAGTGTACATCTTGTGTAACAATGAAAAGTCTTAAGAAGTATAGAACTGAACTTTTCTTTTTTTTTTTTTTTACAGTTTTTGCATGCAAATTTCTTTCTGCATGCACGGGCACATTGTGACACTGAACTTTCCTGCATATTAATGTACTTATTCCACCATGATGATTGCACCAGTATACACAAATGTAATATCTTATCACAAACTCTATTAAGTAGTTGGTTATGACTGTGACTGAAATCTATATATTCCTGATGCTATTTGTCCCATCCATCTAAGTCCTAGCATTTATTCTCCACAATATGGCTGTAGGTCTGACATTACATTATACATTACAGTACATGCACACACACTCACACACACACACACAAACATGCATGTGCACACAGCTCACCTGCCCACTCTCCCATGGAGGTGAAAAAATACTTTGACAGTGGAAAACAAATTTTTGGAAAAAGCATCCTACTGAAGTACAGCAGTCTCACTCCGTAGCAGACAATGACTGCGGCACCAAGAGTGATGAAAAACAATTCCATTAAATCCATGCTTGTCCGTCAAACTAACAACAAACTCTGGCTTTAGGCCCCTCTGTGTTTGTGTCTGCTCTGATAGAGCCTTTCTAGTTCAATGATTCAGTGGCAATAAAGCAGGACAGACAGAGAAGAGAGAATAACCGTGCCACAGGACACTCCCCTTTTAAGATCCCCCACAGACTCTCACTCTACCTCTGAGTTACAGGCTGAAACACACATAAATAGTACATGTACCTTCTCCTCAAAACTGATGGAAACTGTTGCATTGAGAGTATCTGATTTTGGGCTATTTTTTACTATTTCAATCAGAAGCACACAAAAAGGGTTCTAAAAGTCACCTGCAACTGCGCCTGCACAGTTGTTTTGCCCTTTGCCTGCCTGCCAATGAGCTCTGGAGTTGAAGATTTGCAAGCCTGCTGTATTTGTACTTTGGTTTATGTGCAAGTATTTGCCCTTTGTACTTACACCTCTTACAATTACTTTTTGTAAGATATTATACAGACCGCTCTATGAGGATATGTTAATAAGAGTGGTAAATTCCCCAAACACATTAAAGCTCCTATGTGCAGGGTGTTAAGTGGTTTTAACTGGAATTGTTAAGCCATCAAATAATTTAAAAGTTTGAATTTGAGAGTTGCTGAAATGGGACACATGTGGCCACTCTCTTGAATTGAGCAGACACATTTCTACTGGTGAACTGTATAGCTTCTCTGTTTGTCTATTTCAATCTACTTACTTGGTTGACACTCCTCGCCCCTACACAACAGAGGAAATGTGTCCATATTAATGGCTAGAAATGGCTATCAATACTGATTGAGTTCAGATTCAACACACACTCATGATGTAGAAAATCTTGTATGCCAAAAAACCTATTTGATTGTGCTAACCGTAATCAGTATCAACAGTGAGATGGATGTGTAACAAGATGTTTGTGTGGAAGAGTATGTGTGGTAAAGCGGAGAGAGGAATGCATGTGGAGAGCCAAAGAAAACTGAGTTTCTCTTCCTTCCAGAGAAACTCTATTTGGATGTTCATGTTGCTGTGCGTCTCCTGGAATGATTGTGCTTGCTTTGACTTGACAGGTATTTCATTTGCTGAATGAACCAAAGACATTCCAGTCGGGTCACTTTGATTCTCTAGAGATTTTTATCCTAGAATAGGATTACATGCTGTCATTATTTATGTCTAACCTCACCTAATCTTTGGGTTTTGGACTGTCTTCAAATTGCACATATAGTAGCTGAGAAGTATTATAGTAAACCAATAGGTGTCACTTATTTCATAATAACTTTAAATATACCTATATTTGTCCAGCGTTGTTGTCCTTATTCCCAGCTGTTATGTCTATTTCTGTCAAAGCAATGCAAATCCGTTAAGTCAGTTGCTGGAAGTTGAATCAGTTTGCACATTTATAAATACAACATGCATAAATAAGACTGAGTAGGCAACGCGAAGGCTAAAAGTAGAAGCCAATTATATTTTATGTATAGCATGGTGCATAATGTAGGCTACATTTTTATTAACTGTGGACTTTAAATGCCCCATGCTATGGGTACTATCCAAAAAAAACAACAATGATGATGAGAAGGAGTAATGATGATACTGCACATGTTTCTCTGCAGCACACCACGGTAGTCTTCTGGCTCTGTTCATTCATGACCGAGGACGCCCGCTGAACCTTCACGTCATCAGTGCGCGCCTGCTGTGTTGCTCGCGCCATTCTTGCAAGCGTGTGTTTCCATCTCCCGTTACATTACCATTGGCAGAGCTTTAGGTAGCGACTGCTTCGGCACATATTCTGTTTTCTACCGTCATTCTTTAGGTGAGTCAGGTTCTATATTTGTATTTTGAGACATTCGCTCGAGGAGAGACGTTATTTAACACCACGGACACAGTTGGCCCTTGGTTTCGCATTGAATAAGTTTAGCTTGCTAGCTTGCCCAAAGTTAGCTCTGGTGTTTGTGGTGTGCACGATTTTGGAAACTGTCAGTGTCGAACCTCTGATTGGTGAATGTACGGTTGTTTTGTTTCCATTAAATATGACACGCAGAGAGGGCCACTCAAGCAACCGGGGCCATACAACGAATGTTTTACAGATAATGAAGTCGTGAATCAAAGTCATTTAAATGTAACGTTATTGGAATAGTTAGTTGCAGGTTCAACTCTCTCCTGGCCCCCTACTGACGGACTGAGCTTGTTTTGGTTCCCTATGCGCTTTTAAATAACAAACAACCCACTTCATACTCACGCTATAGCAGCTGTGATTGTGTCATGATGTTGAAATCTTTATCATAACCTTTCTATGCATCTAAACTGAACTGCTACTTAGTATGTTAGCATGCTAACTTACCTGTTACATAGATTGCATATTTGCTGAACAATCTGTCAATAGTAGACAGTCAAGTAAAGCAAGTTTCATGATGCGAATTTCCAGTATATTCGTGAGAGTGCATGGATTTCTCAGGTGTGACATATTCTGCTTTAGCTATAAGACACTTGCACACAAACGCCATTTTTACATGTCACAGTTCAAGTGTTTAGAAAAGGTGTAAAGTATAGGTGTACATATTGATAAAATAAAGGCTGAATTCCACGTAGGTGCTTTTTCTTTTTTCAGGGTCCAGATATTGTGCATGCTGGCTCACTGTTAAACTGTCATGGCTTACTGGGAGACTTGGAATGTGTTGTATTAATGTTATTAGCAACACCTGTGCTTGTCCTGCCATGACGAGGCGACATATCAGCAGTGAAACAGGCCTATGATATTACAGATCTAGTGCAAGAGAAGCAGCACCATGAACAACTGGCACCATTGCTGTTGTAAATGGATCTTGTACAAATGTATTTGTATCCTCATTTGCCGATTTAAGATCGTTTGACACGGTTGTAAAACTGACAGTCCCATACTACACATGAATTCTGGGCAGGCTGTTGCGGTTGACTCGAGGCTCCCGACACCGATTGCCTGTCCTTTTCGAGGGTGTCTGTCTCCTACTGTGAGTAAAGTACCTAAATGATCATCTTGAGAGTCTTGCAGTGACAGCGTCAGCGCTCAGAATCTCCACCCGAGTCACGTAAAAGTCTTTAAAAGACCAGTCCCTGCGTTCAAACTTATATTAACGTGTAACACAGACATTGTTGACTTGGAAGTATCACGACCCCACCTGATGTTTGTTCATCTCGACAGTGTCTCAAAATACCAGCCAGCTCACAGATGTGAATCCTGTTTTCTAAACACCTACAGATAACTCTCCTTAATCACATTAACACGACCCAAACCCCTTGTTTCTGCTAAGCTCACTGCTTACACCGTGAAGCATTTATGCATGAAAAGGCACTTAGCTGAGAATGGGGTCATCCGCAGAAGCTGTGTTAGCAGAGTTGCCTTGGGGGAAGAACACAGTGCCTTGTAGTTTATCCGGCTTTCTGAACCCAGGATATGATGTTTACATGTGCAAAAACAGAACTGGGATACCCTAAACCTATCAAAATACGAGTGTGCATGCACATTAAATGCAATTGTTGCTGCATTATGGTTGGCAGATGGATTTTTATCTCATGTGGAAAATGATCCCTGTGTTGCTTGATGGGTACCAGAGACATAAATGCCCTTCATTAAGAGTAGACTGGTACTACTCTTGCTACGTTCGTCTCATAACAGAGTCTTCCAGTAGATCTGTTACTCAATAAATAACTCGGGAACTGTTTATTAAAATAATCAGTCTGTGTAAACAGGTTTGGCCAAAGCACTGCTACAGTGTTCTTGTGTGGAGAGACAGCCCTGATTTACATGCAATTACAGAAGCCTGCAATGAATCACGGGTGCTGGATAATTGTTTCTGGGCTGCAGATGGCAGCCTTGTTCAATATTTTCCCCACTCTGATTGATACTTACTAACGGAAGCTGATTTTGACCACACGACCTCTACTGGTCTCACAGCTGACAGTTTCTCCACACAGTCAGATAGAATTAAACGTCTGTTTTTAACGCAGTTTGTATCCGGAATAACCTGCTTCTTATAGCCCCTGATTGCAATATCTTGACATGCTTTTTTACATCTCATGCTTGTCAGTGATATTCTTTGATGCACTAAAGCAGAAGAAAAAGAGAAGTTGGCTATGTTTTGTCAGAAAGTAAACAACCACGTCATTTTTCTCAAATGTTAAACTATTATTGACAAACTGATGTGGAGATATGGTATCCATAAGGAGGGATTCATGATCTCAATGTAGGTCTTGTTACGGTGTATCATTCTATCTGAGAATCTGTTCTTTTAGGCACAGAGGCCACTGAATCAGATACGTCCTTTGAAGCTAAAAATCACCATTGGACTTGAATACTATCTGGGACATAGAACAGCTCCTTGCGTGGTAGAAATGACAGCAAGTGTTTCTATCAGGTTTTCTTTTTATTTCTATTTCTTTCTCACTATGTTTGACAGTGATTTCAGCACTGCTTTCATCCTAAAAATGGGTTAGAAAGGGATGAAGCCAGACAAAGCAAAAAAAGAAGATTCCTTATTCTGACATTTTTTTTGTAGACGTAATGGCCTCAGCTTTCAGTTGATGTTTGATTATGCTGTTTTCCCCCTATGGTGAAACTATTTTAAAAGGTGTTTTTTCCTCTCAACTCAGCCAGAACTCGTCACAACAAGAGCAGTAAAATTCTTCTCTTTTGTATACTGTCCCCCTGCAGGTGTATCCAGCTATGGATATGGATGGTGCCAGCTCAGTGGTGCTGCAGGCCTTGACCCAAGCTACCAGTCAGGACACGGCCGCGCTGAAGCCCGCGGAGGAGCAGCTCCGACAGTGGGAGACGCAGCCGGGCTTCTACTCCGTGCTTCTGGTGAGGGATGGTATCAAATATTTGATAATACGTCTGCTGAAGTGAAAACTATTACAACTTTAATGAATGGAGATGTTGACGAACATCTGTATCTTACAGATAAGCTGGGGTTGTGCTCATTTCTGATGCGTCTTAGTTTTTAATTAATTTAATTCAAACAACCATAGGAGAGGGTTTCTTTGTAGTTTAGTTATTAATAGGAGGGGGATATCTAGCAATCTGCATAACAATAGCAGATTAAGAGGCTATATATTCTGTTATTGTGCGACACTAACCCATCCTGGCAATTTCACACAATAACTAATCACCAGATTGTGAGAGGTAGGGAGACGAGGAGGAAAAGGGAATTGTAGAACAGGCAGCTGGGAATTGATTTGTGTCAAAGGAATACTCGACTTCCATTGAATAGTTTTATTGAAATAGACACAGATGTTTTAACCAAACTTTTCATTTTTCGATGTATAAGACGAAGTGTCGTCTAAAATTCAGAGGTGTGGGACAATAGAATAATTCGACAGAGCTTAGTGTGTGTTCATCCTCACCTACATTTTAGTGCATATTCATCAGAAAGCTTGTGTTGATCCTTAGAGTAATACTCAGTTTGTTTACTGTCTCAGCCTGGTGTAAGATGGATATCCGTCTCATCTCTGTTCATTCAGTAGAGAAATTGGCCTCGGATGCGTTCGGCCGAGATAAGCACAAATGCCTATTCCGTTGAGAGGAATGTATTATTTTCTATATTTTTGTGCTGAATACAGTGTGGAAAAGGGAGACGATAGACAACACAATGTCCTGTTTAAGTCAAGGTGCATCTTACGAGAGACATTTTTATGTGTATAAAATATGAGAGCCCAAAAACTAATGTGTAGCATTTAATGTGTCTGGCTAACCAACCAATCACAGTAAACAATATCTGCAATTTAAATATACATGATAAGGGCGAGTGTTTTTGTGTCTGCCCTCGGATGATCTAAGACCGGGTTTTAGAAGTCTAACTTCTAGGTTTGTGTTTTTGGAGGCACAGCTACTTGGACATTTCAGAAGATGTCCTCAAATTTATGCTTCATTTTGTGTAGCTTTGAGCCAATATTCCCATCTATTATGTTACTGTGCTGCTCTTTAAAGAGCTCCTGCCTTTGCAGTGACTAATGACTTTGAGAACCCTGTCAGTACTCAGCCGGGTCTCGGGGGTTACGGCTATATTTCACAGCTCAGAAGTTTTAGCATTTATAAGATAATAAAACTACAGTAGTGTGTATGACTTAGACAACTTAAGATCTCAATGTCAGTGTGTCCTGTATTTTAAAGCATGGCTTGATGGCATCACGCATAATTGTTCTTCGGTGTGGTTAGAGTGGTGTCACACATCATTAAACTGTTACCCATTTGAGTTCAACAAAACAATGTCTGCTAAGCTAGATGTATATATGTGTGTGTGTGTATATTTATATATACATTTTTTTTTCCCCTCCATAGAACATCTTCAATAACCACATGCTGGATGTGAACGTCAGGTGGCTCGCTGTGCTGTACTTCAAAAATGGCATTGACAGATACTGGAGGAGAGTAGCACCTCAGTAAGTGCCAGCTTGTCTCCCACTTTTCCATCTTCGGCTTCTTCTTCTTCTCTCTTCCACAGCGTGTCTTTATTTTCTCATTCACTCTTACTCTGTCTCTATTCATCAGTCTTAATCTCTCCGTCTGTTGTTGAGGCTGCCCCCCCCCCAGATTTTTTTTTTTCTTGGTTTTTTTTTTCCCCCCCCCCCCCCCCAGTTTTGTCCCTATTTCTCACTGCCTTCATTTCCCCATTGTCTTTTCTTCAACAGTTATAGCTTACGTCTGCAGTTCTGCCTCCACCACTTTTCTCTCTTTCTTTACCATCCATCCTGATTCTTCATATCATTGTGCTCTGGTTTTATTCTCTGTTTATTCCTTTGTGTCTCTTTTGTCTGGTGAAAGATCGGCTTTGACTGTTCAAAGCTTACGCTCTGTCTTTGGCTACCTGACTAGCTGGTGTTTGTTAGATTTGAATTGAACATTTGCTCTTAAATTCCCAGGACAGCAGTTGGCTGGAGGTAATCATCATCAAGGTCTTTCGGTCCTTGAGTTAATTATTTGATTACTTTCGGACGATTGCCATTAATCCAGTTGTTGGATACTATGTGGGACCATGTGGTGTCACTATACAACGCTTGGGCCACCGAGTCTTTATGCTTCCATTCAGGCGACAACCGTAATTCATGTACTAATTATGACAATTTCACACAAATGTGTCCTAGAATAAAAGGATGAAGTGATGACAATTTGGACAGACGAGCAAGCCCTTCACTTTGGTATCACTTGTTTTATTTGGCTGGCTTATAATATTGTAATATAAGGAGAAACCAGTCGAAGCTACTGGCTGAAAAGGCCCTTTGACGAACATTTGGACACGTCTTAGCTGAAAAGCACAAGCTTAACTAAAACATCACACATTCTATTCTGCTTGCCGGTTGCACAGCCCTGGTATTGTGCATGCTGGCTTACTGGCTTGGCTAAATAGGTCACTTAGGTGTAATGGAGCCCTCATTAATGTTATTAGTTCCACCTATGCTGTTTCTGCTGTGACAAGTCAAAAGGTCTGCTGTGAAAAAAGGTCACTTCCTTTTTCATAACTGAAGAAACTCCCTCTCGTGCCTTTTTATTAATGCTTTCCACGACAGTACACAGGCCTGGCATTTGACTTTAATACTGGAATCATGAGAGTGGAGTTCATTTAATTTATTTTGTACGACAATACCTTTTCAAGATGATCAAATCAATGAAACTTACATAGTGTATAGATTACATGCTGTTCGTAAAGGAATACCTTACTTCATACGACCTATGGAGTCCTCTCGTCTCATCTTAAAGCAGAAAACAAACACTCTGCAGATGCTCGACAGACTTCATGACTGTCCTGTTGTTTTTCCGTCTCCCTGTCCATCTCTGTCCATCTATTCTAGGCTCCTTATCAGTTGATAAATTGTGACTTGTAATTAAGATTCACCTTGGGGCTCCCTGCCCGGTTAACTGAATCACTGACTTTAATCGAACAGCCTTAATATGGTAGAGCGATTTCCCAACATGCCACCGTCAGCCCAACAACTGGGGATTGCTGATTTATTCGCACGTGTGTGTGTGTGTGTGTGTGTGTGCGTGCGTAAGTGTGTGTGTGTGTGTGTGTGTGTTTGCCGCGCTTTCACAGGCTCACAAGACACCACACGTTTAAATAAACCAAAATGCATGCATTTGCACAATTAACTTTTCCTTGAAGGGGTTTTGAAATACTTACTAAAAGTAAAGTGCAAGTTAAAATAAAGAATAAAAAAGAAAAAGAAGTGAATATACCTAAGAGAGTAAAACAAAAATGCATCCTGTAAACGTAATGTGCTAATTGAAATAAATAAATATACACTGTAAAGTTGGCACTACCTGCTGTGTGAATGGTTATATATTATCAAACTTTTGCCAAAAACAACAGCAACAAGCAGAGTGGAAAATCAAAGTCAAGAGATACTTGAATGAGGTATTTTTATTGTATGGACGACGAGTTAGCTTCTGTGTGCGGCTAATATTTTGGGGGTTGCGGTGTAGCTAGCAGATATCCAGACAGCTCCCCCCGCGCGCGCGCGCACACACACACACACACACACACACACACACACACACACACACACACACACACACACACACACACTCTCTGTTTGCAAAACCGTAGGCTCATGTTGCAGACTACAAGATATGAGACAGAGGAGAGCAGGGGGTTCATTCCGAGCTTACTGATTAAATCAGGCAGCTGGCAGCTCCTGCACTATAGAGTGTTACAAAGGGATTTAATTGATCCCATAACAGCTTGGCAGATTGATGTCCTACTCATATCTTTCCCATATTAAAGTACGAGGTCCAGAATTTGAAATTGACTCTCAGAAACAGGATTTCTTCCATGGCCCCCCCGTGGTGCACAACTAAAGAAACTGCTAACTCGTTTGACCAGCCATTCGTTAAGTATGTTCCACTGGTATTTCACCGGTAATCAGGTGACTATAGTTATTGAGAGATGTTTGTCTTGTTAACCACACACATTGATGTGTGTGTGTTGTATTTTTTTGCAATGATTTCTTTTCTTTATTAAGTCCAGGTATTGTGTTGCTCGTCTTCACTCTGTCTTGTCTTCTGAACGTCTTCCTGGTTGGTTTGTTCACAGCGCTTTATCAGAAGAGGAGAAGACCTCATTGCGTGCTGGTCTCATCACGAACTTCAACGAGCCCGTCAATCAGGTTAGTGGGAAATGGAAAGAACATCTAACTCAGCATCATAAACTGTGATTTTGATTAAGATGACTTAGTATAAAACCCTATAATGTTCAAAGCAATTGGCTAAAAGCATCATACAACTTTTTGCGTGTTAATAGTCCATTTTGCAGATTTATCTGCTGTGTTGTACTGTAAACATTTATGGTATGGACACATACTTGCGGAAGCTTTAAAATAGCTTGAAGTGGATTATCCATCATTATGAACACTAGATCTGCAGTCTTTGCTAAATATGGTCCAATATTTTAGAACAGCTTACGACACCCAGTTTGACAGATTATTGGACAAACGTTAGATTTCTGAAGTAATTTGGCTTTTTTCTTTGTAGAATTTGATCAAGTAGACTTTAAAAAAACCAAGATTTGGTTTCCTCTGTTGCCTTGAAGGAATGAATTGTGAGGTGGTCTTTTAGAGGACCTGTTATCATTAAAGAAGTGATGTGAAGGGAAATACATTGGTTATTTCAATCACCTGTTGACACCAGAACTATAGCGATTTCTTGATTAGCATCTAGATTTCGATTTTAGACCAGCTGTTCCATCCAAACAAACAGATCTCATCACAGACAAAGAAGCAAATTAAATTTTCAGGTTTAGCTTTTTTCTTAAGGATATCAAAATGTAGGAACGGACATTTTCCATCAGGAAAGTAATAAAGTCTTTGTACTCAACACTGGTACTGAGAAGGCTGTTATATCGCATTGAGAACCACTCTTTAAAAGTAACTGCCACAATTAGAACAACTTTTACTGTAAGTGTACTATTTTAAAAACGTTTGCTATCGATGCCTGTAAGCTGAATGTGGCCAGACCTGTTAGATTTGTTGCCTAAAATGTTATAAATAGGCTTATGCAATACACACAAGTAAATGTAATAAGATGGAAGCAGAAAGGATGATAGAAGACATCGATTGTGCTCGTGGGGTCTTCAGTTTGTTGATAAGCCATTCGTTTTTTCACAGTTGTCAGGGGAGCGGCGCGACAAACAAATACGAGCGGTGTGTAATCCATCTGTCTGAGTGGAAGTGGAAGGGGGCCTTCCATCCTGGTTTCTACAGCTTGTTTATCCCTGAGGGACAGCCCTCCAACATCAGGACTGATAGGGTCCATACGGCAGTAAAGTAATGAATGCCATTTACACATCGTATGTCTCAGCAGTCACTGCCTCTCGTTGTTTAATCAATCTGGGTATTGAGTGTGTGCCCTGTGTTGTGTGGACAGTTCACATTTTTTAGTTCTATAATCCAAGCAGATTATGTGACCTCGGCTGACTTTAAAAAACATTTTAGTGGTTTATTGACACTTAAAAATGAAATGTACATGCACACTGATTATTTATTACTTTGTCAAATTAGATTGTTAATGGCATATTTGTGTTTTTATGGAAACACGCATTCTATAGCCAATGCAATACATTCTCACTATTTTACCTCCAACTGATTGTGTGTTGGGCTGTGAAACAATTATTGGGATCAAAAGAGCTAAACGTTGCCATTGCTGCTTTAATATTTGTATTCTAAATGTACAAGTGGGCTAGATTTAGATTATTAAATTAAAGATTGAAGTGCCATCACAGAAAATACAAGGTCAGCTCAAACAAGTCATAGAATTTAAACTACCGTTATAAAACGGTTTAATTTACAAGTTAACTGTGATTTCTAGGGTGTCTACCCGTATTGATATACAGTGGGTGGCTTCTCAGTATATCACAATACATCTTCGACATCATAGATCCTGCAGGGCTGCAGTATCAGACTGGATTTGTTTGAGCTGAGTGTACCTAACAAACCGGCAGTGTGTCTGATGCTCCCACCCAGCACCACCTCTCTGTGATGCGGATACAAATACACTACGCCTGCTCATTTAACTTGATGTTCATGCTTGTACTAGATTCACGACAGGACTGGAGATGGTTAAGTCTTACGCCAGGATGTGTGAACCACTGTCAAATCAAAGGCAGCGTATGCTAAGCAGTGTATGCTTATGTGGATCGGCTATCAAAGCTGCTGTTCAGTAGTAACAGTCCTGGATCTACAGACTATAAAGATGTAACACTCCTGTACAAGCACTTCCTTTAAAAAAGAAGAAGCTGAATCCGTGTCTCTGACTCCATCTTTAAGAGGAAATGGATATGGAATATGTGCACACTATGCTGTATATGATATACTCATTTAAATTCATGCCGTACTATATTAAGTGATGTAGAATGTTCGAGATTACAATGTTTAATGTTGTTGTCAATGCCCATCAAGTTTACCTTCTGCTGTGTTTTTGCTCTGCCTCTGGTCATCTTTTTCTCCCTCTGTGTGGCCAACAGATAGCCACCCAGATTGCAGTACTGATAGCCAAGGTGGCCCGTCTGGACTGCCCGAGGCAATGGCCAGAGCTCATCCCCATTCTACTCGAGTCTGTGAAGGGTCAGGACGGCCTGCAGCAGCACCGGGCGCTGCTAACCTTCTATCATGTCACCAAAACCCTCGCGTCCAAACGTCTGGCGCAGGACAGGCGGCTCTTCCAGGATGTAAGTCCACTTTTCTTTTTTTATAGCTATTTGTCTGTTTGTCGACACTCTCAGCTTTACATCATTACAACAGTTCATTTAGTATCTCGTTGCTTGTCATTCTTAGTCGTTCGCTATGCCTCTCTGGCTTTCCTTCCTCTACACGTGATGCAGTAGCTGTGCACATCTGAAATACGAGGTGACTTCAGGTCAATAAGTGAAGAAAAATAAAACTCTGTCCACTGAACTTTGCTGCTTTTGACCTCTTCTTTCTTTTCTTGTATTCTGCCCTCTGACTTTGTCATGTTCCCTTTTTTTTGTACTCCCTTTATTTCCCCTGCAAAACCTTTTTAGTGTGAATAGATGAATAGTAAGATTATCCTGATAGTTGCAGGTGTTTCACTTTCAGTCTTTGCCTGTAGGAGATGCTGTTCAGCTGCTGTATGAATCAAATCTGAGATTTATGGCGGTCATATTCTCTCTGTGTGTCTGCTTTCATGCATGATTGGAGCGAGATTGACGTGTTTTGGAATATATTTGTCTGTGTTGCTAGTCGTATGTCTGTGTGTGTGTGTGTGTGTGTGTGTGTAAGAGAGATTGTGTTCACGGGATGGTTGTCTGTGTCTTTCAAAGAGGTAGTGAATTAGAGCAAATGCTAATTTATTGCCATCCATGGTTTTAAAGAACTGAAGACTTAAGCAGAAAGATAGTCATGGAGAGAAAGAGGGGGGTTTAGGGGAGCAAGATATCAAACAGACCAGCAGAGAGAAGACTGAGGGAGAATAAGAGGGACAGAAACAGACCAGTGGCTGGCTGAGGCCAAATAGTTGGATGTCGTGCAGAGGCATCCTCTATGCCAAAATGTGTGCCCTTAGGCAGAACGAGGAACAAAGGCATTCTGAGCCCCATTAAACGGTGGCGTTTTTAAATGATGCACTGATCACTCTGACACCAAATAGCCCATGAATGCTCCCTTCCCGTCACGACAACTGACCCGGTAACCAGTGTGTGTGTCACACCAAGAGGTGGGGAGACAAAGGACAATGCAACACTGTTCATTTCAGCTCCAGTGCCCCCCCCCCCCCCCCCCTTTTTAATGTGAAGTCAATTTGATGAAACTCAAATGACCTCAGATTCTGTAGCTGTATGCATTTTTTGTTCACGTTGGCTATTTGTATACCACCGCTACCACCTGTCAAGACCGTCTCTGGCTCTGTACACACCTGGCGTTACCGTTTGTCTTCGGTGATCGGATCAGAAGTGGACAGTTTTATGTGCACCCACGACTCACTGAGGACGGATTGAGATCCGACGGCTCAGACTTCATTTTAAGTCGGTCGGGGCCGCATAGGGTCACATTCTTTAGCGGTGTGTACGGGAATGTGTCCTGGAACACGTCGAAGGACTGCCTACTCAACCAACGACCTCTGTGGAAGCAGTAGTTGGGACATATTGGCCTGCCAGCGGCGTCATATTGAAGGGCAACAACAGGCCAATAGGAGAAAGGACAGAGGATGGATACAAATATATTACGAGTGCATCCAACATCTTGAGGCTATTTAGTTTGCCTGGAACACGTTAAGGAATAGACCCAGTCGGTATTGTGTTGACTACTTCTTCTTCTTCTTTTAATTTCCAGTAGACGAGGCAGGAAAGTGCATTGCTGCGTCCCATTGGTTAAAAACAAACACATTTTGGACTTTGCAAAAAGGAGGTGAGATCCGATAAGTGGTCACTTGAGACGCATTCTAATGCCAGTTGTGAAATGACGGGGAGCTGATCACATCACTCATGTTAATGCCAAATGTGAACATTAAGGCTCTGAGCCGTAGTTTTATAGAGGGTTGCACTTGTTTGCTTTTTTGAAAGAACGTGTTTAGTCACTGGTGTCCTGAATGTTACCTTTGCTATTTATTCACAGAAATGTATCTGCATTAAACAGCAAGCATCTCTTCATTTATAAGCCCACTCTATTTCCCTCTATGTTTACACCCTTTTTTTGCTTCGCCCTATTTAGCCCGGACGTAATGTGTACAAAAGTGCTGTTGCGTGTGTGTGGGCGTCTGAGCGTGTCTTCTTGTACTCGATGAGAGTGCGCTCTTCTCTCTAGTCCTTCGCCCAAGCTAAAACAGTTGGTAGACCATGTTGACTGCATCATGGGAGATGATGCACTGACGGCAGCTCTTCAACCAGCTCTTTGTTTTTCCGGCCCACTTGCTGATGCCGAGGCTTCGAACTCAACTCGATCGCCAGACACAGAGCTGAGCAGATAGTGGGAGAAAAAGGGAAAGAGGACGTGGTAAAGCATCATGGTGTGTAGGAGAAGGAGTGATTGATGCAACCGTGGGCTGGCTGCTGGTGACAGGAGGAGTGATCACATAAGGAGAAGTTATGGAGTAATCAAGAAAATGGTGTAAGGATAAAGTTGAGACTGGATTCGAGGAGGAGGAGGATGAAGTTAGGGCACTTTTAGAAGTGATTTCTGCCGACTGCCATCTTGGAAAGAAGGGGAGAAAGTGAGGAGGGAACTGGATGAAGGAGAAATGCTCAGTAAAACATAAAATACAAGATAGAAAAACAAAGTTTCTCTCTTAATATAATGAAAACACAGAGTAAGCCAGAGGAAAACCATAATTAATCAAACATATTATCTTGAAAATTGATTCACGAGCAATTAGCCTCTATGCAAGTGTTGCATAATGCAGTTGATATAAGATAAGATAAAAATGAATATGAAAGTCAGTGGATCTTAAGTTCACTGTAATAGTCAAGCACCTTTGAGAGAGAGAGCGCAATAGAATGTTTTTTCTTTTTTCTGTAACCACAATGATGGAAATAATTCCACAGACACAAACACTCACAGAATAGCAAACAAGTTTGTGCCTTTTGGATAGATTTTATTTTTGCCCTCAGGATAGTACTTAACACAGCAATCTTATTTATGAACAATGAACCCAGAGCTCCAACTTTCTTTCAGTTATTCTACTCACTCTGGTGTATCTTATAAAGCTTACGTGAGACTACATCCTTGTAACAAAGATAGTTGTTCTGGTAATACATTGCAGAATGTTTTCGCTCTAAAGTTGATACCTAGTTTAATGCACATAGATCTCTCTACAGAGTTAAAAGTGGTACTTCTTAAAAAAAAGACTTCCGCCTACATTTGAAACCTTGTGGGGTAGACCACAAAGACGATGCGTTGTAAAGACTCGGCAGCGACATTGTGTTGAGCTCGTTTGCTTCTTGTGACTCTCACACACGCAGTAAGTTAAGAGAGGAATGGGACAGGTGATAACCAGCGTCTGGCTTTGTGCTGTTGAGTAGCAATAGAGGAACAATTTCCCACTGGATGGGTATTCATAAACATGAAATGAGCTGCGCTTTTCTTGGATGGCTTCTGGTTTACGAGCTCTTCCTCCTGGAATAGGGAATCGGTTTGCAGATGGTGGAAATTGTTTGCGTTTATTGAAATGTACCTCCCTGTTGTCTGTCTGCAGTTGTGAAAAGAAGCAAACACACAGATATACACACTTTTTGCAGTGTGTAGAGTTCTGCAGACACACACACAGGCACCACATGGGTGGGAAAAACAATTGATACTGAGAGGCATTGGAATTCTCACTTGAATAATTCAGCAACAATTCCAAAAACTCAATACTTGGAATTCAGATGGTTCCCCAGTAATCAGCTGAATAGCAGACTTTCTGAGTGTGGCCCACTTCTTTAAAGATGTAACAATGGAGCCTTAATGGACAGACTCTTGTTCATCAGGAGAGTGGACTGAGGCTGTCAATCCATGGGTTCAAGTGTGGGAAGCTGTGCCTATAGTTAATACGTTTAAGTAAGAAAAGTTTGAGTCATAAAAGCTGTTTAATAAGGCTTTTCAGGATGCACCGATACCAATATCAGATATCGGGCCGATACTCACTCGGATAGCTGGATCGGGTATTAGTGACAGTATTCAATTCACATCTATGGTTACATACTATATACATTATATGCATCCCTACGTGTAAGTGTAGTGTGCCACCAGAGGCCTTGGTGGGAATTGTAGTCACATGATTGATCAATCAATCCTGTGAAAAACACACAAGTTGTGTGGTTTATTATTAGCCTAACCTTGTTGAAATGAACTTGCTAAATATTTGGGATATCTAATCTGTGCCTTGTCACATATACACACACACATACTTGTGTGCGATATCTGCGTTGTGTGAGTGAAGCATTAGGGAGGTGACGGCTAATTCTGAAAATAGATTTATGTTGTACTTCACAATTATACAGACTCAGTTTTTGCAGTTTTGGGAATGAATTTGTTGGTTGGGGAATACATTTAAGGTGTAAATCCTGTTGTCCTGTACATACAAATGTGTCACAATGAGGCATAAGGACCATTGTCCCTTTGTGGGGGGCCTCCAACATCAATTGTTTGTTAGGAAGCAAACATGCTTTAGTAAGTCCCATAACATTTGGAAAAACACCCATGTATCATTTGTAGCTAGGTAGGACCCGATGAAATCCATTGAAAGAAAATTCCCAAATTACATTTTTTCCACAAACAAAGAGAGCAGAAGATGAAATCAGTGTGTCCGTAAATGAAACCATGAAACCAAAACATAGCAGCATTGTTTTCATCTGTTCAATTGGCTTAAAAATGGAAGGGAAAACCCTGATTTTTATAAATTGCACCCACACACTCTCCATTTCTGATCCAATTTTTATAATCAAACTTTGTAATTTCCGTGTTTCATAGAGCCCAAGGTTATCTAGGATGAATTAAAACGACCTTACATCCCATTAAAAAAAACGGCACACCAAGAGTGTGGAGGTCGAAAGAAGAATTTGAGATTGTTTCCCAAACTTGCTTCATCACTTCTAGGTGCCATGCGTTGGATTAGTCTGGTATCCGAAGGAATTGAAAGTGCCGAGCTTGAGAGAAATCTCTCCAAAGAAGAAAATGGCTAGCCTTGCATTTTTTTCTGTAAAGAACGTATCAAGGCCTGTGCTGTGCTGTCAAAGTAGGGATTTCTCTTTCACTCACCAACCTAACCACTGCTTCATAGATCTTTCCCATTCGACACTCAAGTGTTAGCCCTCACACGTAGTTCTATTGTCAACGAGTTGTTCAGTTCCTTTCTTTGATGCGTTACCCACAATCCCATTTCCAGTGTGTTTGCCTCAATCAAGTAGCAGAAATGACTTTTAACTATCACATTGAACACAGTCAGAGTAGCTGGTAGTGTAGCTTCCTTTAAGCTTTAACACGTGGAAATGCTTGAATATTGAGGCACTATGTTTGGAGAGTCACCGAGATGCACCGTTTACCTCTTTTCACTTCTGTTTATTCTTTTTATGAAAACACGCATCCAAAAGCTCATTGTTGTGCCGTGGCAGAGTGAATATTGTCTGAGCTACTGGGCCAGACTACACACCACACAGTCGATTGATGGGACGGAGAGTACTTTTGTCTCCCTTTTGATTATCTTTACGGGAGAATGCATTCATGAAAGAAAAATGTAATTGGTTTGGGCTCAATATTATGGCAGTGACTGTAATAGGAAGTTCATTTAGAGCTAAATTAGACCTGAGACTCCCTCCCCGTGTGTTCTGTGAGACTGTTTGTATTTGCGTCGGCATCAGTGCCACCGAGTCTCTGAAGTTATCAGTAGACGCAATTGCGATTCACTTCACGTGTTCACCAGAATGACCTCAGATGTCTGTTTTCGAATGTGACCACCGATCCAGAATCATTTTGGTGTGTGTGTGTGTGTGTGTGTGTGTGTGTGTGTGTGTGTGTGTGTGTGTGTGTGTGTGTTTGTTTTGGCAGCTGGCGTCGGGCATCTACAGCTTTGCGTGCTCCCTGTGGAGCCATCACACCGACTGCTTCCTCCAGCAGATCTGTGCCAGAGATGAGGCCGCAGCGCTCGGCTCGCTGGAGAGGACGCTGCTCTCTCTTAAAGGTAGCGACATTTGCACCCATGCCCGTATACAGGTCCGACACGACCGCAAAGACACATACAGAATGCTCAAATTTCACAATGGCCTTGAATAACTCACTCCATATCATAATGCCTTTATTTCATGATTCCACCGACAAAAAGTTAATTAAGAGGACAGCTTGTTAACTTCTGTAAATATTCATATGTGCTGTTACTTTGTGAAACATCAATCAAGTGGAGATTAATTTGCAATTAGCGTCGATCCTGCATGCTAATCCGTCATTCTCTCTCTGCCCCCCCGTCAGTGCTTCGCAAGTTGACAGTCTTCGGATTTCAAGAGCCACAACAGAATATGGAGGTGATGGTGAGTCTTGAGTTATTTCAGCTGTGGCTGTTAAGGAGCTCTCATATTTTCTAAAATGTTGTTGCTGTTGGTGTTTTGAGTGGAGAATGACTCCAATCACACAGTGTGCAGTGTGTGGATGGCCGTGGAGATTGAAAGTGCCTTAAGCCTTGTCACGGTTCAAAGAGTCGACAGTTCTTTATGAGCTCTTCACCCACTCTGTGTGAAGAAAGTCCGTGAAACGGTTCATTTCATTTAGTTTAAATCTCTCTGGTTTAAAAATACATATGGTAAGCATGTGGCTGGATGGGGTTTCAGTTTCCCCATGGCTCAGAGTTAATGGAATCATATCCCAGCCCTGTGAACTGCGGCTGCTACTTCCTGTTTTGCCATTCAAGGTTTGGTGAAAGAATATCAATATATATATGCTTTTAAAGAATAATGGTAAAATATAGATTTTTGAAAGTGAGATTTCATCTTTAATATTCTTTATTTTAAAGAAACATACCCTTGGATTGAGCTTGACATTTTGAACATAGAAACCTCCAGGGTAGGGCCGGGTACTGAAATAATAATAAATAAATCGGTAGCGCTTATACACCCTCTACCTACAACAGTGTTTCTTGAACACGCGGCGCAGTCCTGTAATATTGCAAAGTTATGGAGGACAAAAAATGTATTCAAACTGCCCAATTAATAAAAACAGCAAATGTTGAGATGCACTTAGGATTCGATTATCTACCAGGGCAGAAGCTTGGGACGACACCCGTGTGGCCTTCAGGGACTTTCAGCCTCATATTTCAGTTCACTGTGTGACACCAGAATGATTTAATCATGTTCTCAGTCCGGCAGTTATGCTCTTGACTTATTGATTGATTAAAGTCACCGTCAACCTGTGTTGACATATCTGGAATCATCTGCCACAAAATTTTTTTTATGCTCTGAGGGTTTAGAAAGTCCTCTTTACAAATAATGTTATTTTTTATGAAGAGTTTGCAAAGAAAAAAAGGAATGTTTTGTACACGGAGAACAAAAACCCTGTACAACGTTCAACCAGACAGACAATTGCAACGGCAGCAAGCAACAATGATCCCTCTGAGCAATGGTCCAATAACATTAGAATCTAATTATTTTAATTAGGAACAAGTTCCTGTTTCATTGTCTTTTGTACAATAATACTCATAATAAGCTGGTATTAACACGTGTGTTGCTTTGGTTAGCTTTAATATAGAAACAGAGGGTTAGTGTAGGATCAGCACTATTGGTTTTAGTCTTTTGATGCTTTTTTTGGTCCATTTGGTTTTTGAACAATACTATTTTTCTATGAATAGTTTAATGAAATGAGTAAAAGCATCAGTATAACAGGCGATTCTAAACTTCTGAACAGTGGTGATAGTAAAAAGAGCGCACAGGGATTTTTAGGTAATTGCAACCTGACGACTTCAGTACTGTAACTGTACTAACAAAGACAAAAGGTAACAGTTTGTTCATCAAATAAGAACTCTTGAACCCTTGTTGTTGAAGAACCCTGCAATAGATTATCGAGAAAGGGAGAAACTTTGATTGTTTTGCAAATACCACGACACATGATCATCGCTTACAAATGAGGTTTTGCCAGCTTTTGTCAGTTTTTTTTTATCGTTATGAATTGTACCATTGTTATTCAAGTGGTTGAACAAAATATACCATTTTTACAGAATTGCTTGGTATACGTATATAATTATCGACTGAATTGATCACAAGTGAAAAGAAGTGTTGGTGTTCTTGACAGACAGTATATTCAGTCATAGGTCAGTGACTGTGCTCTCTTTGTCACTCTAGGTCTCTTATTTCTTCTTTTATTGGTCTTTTTTTAATTTATTTTTTTAATCTCAGACAGGAGTTGGAAGGGACATTTTATGACGGAAGTACATTAACTGTGCTCCATAATTCGACTAATGAGACAACTGTCAGCTGGCAGGCTGAATGCTGTATCATGGTTGGAACAGTCCCATTAAACTGTAATTTGCCTCGAGCTGTCCCTGGTTATTCCAGATCAGTGAGCAGAAAATGGTTTGGAGCTAATGTTTCCTGCTCGGATGTTGATGCTGATATTGTGTCAGACTCACTACTTCCGACTTTAACTTGTCGATACAACTTTTCATTCATTTCATTCAGCTGAGAGGCGTTAACACAGAGATCTGTTCACTGTTCACCTGGCTCCTTTCTCAATTCTCAGGCCACGGCTTTACTTTATACTATTTCAAATTCAAATGTTTTTTTAAAACTGCTGTTGACCACGGGAGGCTGTTTTAACATCAAACTGCTGAAGGGCGGCAGCAGCAGGAAGAGAAGGAAGAGGCGCCACACAAACACAGCTGTTCACCGCTCGCTGCCCGCTTCTTGTGTTTAAAATGTCCGCTTAATAATAAAAAAAACTGCATTAATGCGCGATAAAATAATTGTCGGTGTTAATTAATCAATGTGTTAACGCGATAATAACGCGTTAACTTGCCCAGCCCTAAAATAAATACATTTTTTTAAAGGGTTATGTTTTCATAACATGACCATTCATGCTTCTTAAGAGATATCTCACTGTTTATAAGAGCAGGAGGTGATATATTGTGGTTTTCTCTTGTCTCTTTGGCTACTGTATAGAAACAAATAAGCAACATCGTGCATCCCGTTGCTCACCTATCTCAGACTGAGTCCTAAAGCCTCAGGATCCAGTTTTTTTGTGTTGGATGCCAAAAGATTTTTTTAACTCCATTCATGTCTCTCCATTGACTAAACACACATTTGCATGTAATCACCAGTGTTCACGTCTCAACCTGGATTTATCTGGCATCGGCTTCCATGATCTGGAACAAATCAAAGTGAAAGAAAGTTAATTGTTGTTAATAGGAACAGGTGAGGTGAATCAGACGGGGATAATGTCATTTAAATATATCGGATGCAATTACTGCTTTGACTTTAATGAACCCTTTTCCTGAATAGGACTCATTGATTAATTCAGTTATTCACTACACTGTCACAGGTTAAGCCTTTTCAGTCTGGTAATGGGAATCCTCATCCAGTTATCAACTACTGCCTGAGATTTCTTTTTAGTGTAACTTGGTCCTTAACGGATGATTTCAACCATTTTTCAAATATTTCATGCGATGGTTTAAAGACGTGTCTTGCTCTTTTTATCTGACTTATCGATAAGGTCATCAAGGTGTTGATGGCTTATCATCTCTCATTTTGCTCTTCCTTCGGGGATGGGTATGTTCCTGAGAAAACGGTTAATTCATCTTATTTCATTTTCTTTAGGAAAGAGAGTCTGCAGGTTGTTTACCGAAGAAGTAATTTAGCAACCTTCAGGGAACTGAATAAACCCATCTAAGGGGGAGAAACTGTTTAACTCAGTCATGATGTGTCGCTCACTTGCCTGCAGCACATTGGGCCTGAACTGTAACAGTGAATCTTTATAATAAGCCGGTCCCGTATCTGCTAATTACGCATAATGTACAATAGCAATCTTGCTGTGAATAGGCTCGGGTTTTTCTTAACCACCTAATTTGTTGTTTTTGTAGACTTTCAAGTTGTTGTCGAATACACAATATTTTCAGAAGCAGTCGAAGATCTTGAGTGTAGGTTTCAATACCCCATGTAGAGCTTCACATTTGAGCATGGTGGAACTGCTGTACCAGGCGGTGGTGCAGCAGGTCAGGATACTCTCGATGGTGCACCGTAGAAGTTGCAGAGTATCCTGTGGTCCACGTTGAACCTCCTCAGCCTGCGGAGGAAGAAGACCTGCTGTCTTGCCCTCTTTGTGTTGGTGTCTGTGTGATGAGACCAAGTCAGGTTCTCTCTGATGTGAACCCAGAGGAACCTGAAGCCGCCGACTCTCTCAAGCACAGTCCCGTTGATGGAGATGGTGCCGTGTCTTTCTCCCTTTCGCTTCCTGTAGTCCACAATCAGTGGTGGAGATGGAGGATGTTGTCCCGGCACCAAGGTGTCCAGGGCTCTGACCCCCCCTCTCTGTAGGCCGTCTCGTCGTTCGTGTCATCAGCGATCTTAATGAGGGTGTTGGAGCTGTGGGTGGCCACTCAGTCATGCGTGAACCGGAGTACAAGAGATTGCTTAGCACGTAGCCTTGTGGGCGCCGGTGTTGAGGATCAGGGTGGAGAGGATATGGTGGTGCCAATCCACACATCCTGGTGTCTCCCCATCAGGAAGCCCAGGATGTTATCACAGAGGGCGCTGTTGAGCCCCAGGTGTCTGAGCTCGATAACGAGCTTGGAGGGCACAATGGCACTGAATGGTGAACTGTAGTCTATGAACAACAGTCTCGCATACGTGTTCCTCCGGTCCAGGTGGGGGGGCTAGGGTGATGGCGTCATTCGTCAGGCAGAGGGTGTTGGTCATTGTGGGATGAGGACAATAGTGAGCTGCTTGAAACTCAACTTGTTCCCCCTGGGATGGAAGGATGGAACCATGTTGGATATTTATGGAAGCGCATTTGCCATTTAATGTTTTATTCCACATGTACTGGAGTCCAATGTTTGTGCTTTTTAGTTTGGTTGTTTTGGATGTTTTATTTCTATTTATATCTACAATATAAACTAAAATACATTGGTGTTTCCTAAAAAACAATCCCACTTTGAACATAAATCATAAAACTTGTATAAAAAGATGTAACTTAATTACTTTTCATAAATGAATGCATTAAACTTAAAACAATGTCTCCTCCAAATATATGTGACACACCCAGCTGATGTATGTATGTAACAAACTGGCACCATATTTGTTTTTGCCAGTTGCAAGTTTTTGATTTAAAAAAACAACACAAAACACCAAACAAACTTTTGAAAATATCTTAAGTCTCAATGGAAAAGCTTGGGTAGGTTGTTTTTGTTCGCCTTTGTGTTCTTTGGAGCACAAATGCAGACTACTAACAAGTGATGTATACTGACAAAGCCAGTGTCCTCACACTCGATGTGAACAATCACCGTGGCGTCAGCACTGCTGGACAACGGCGGTGAGTTGGAAAACACAGACACTAAAAATGGAGACCGTTGTCAGTTTTCACACAGGCTGCCACAGTGATGAGTTTAAAGTTTTCTTTTATAACTTACTTACTGTGACACTTGTGGTTTGTCGTCCTGGCTTGGTCTGTTTGCAACATCCAGGTGCTAACGAGCATCTTTGTGTCATTCCCAAAGCAATTAATAGATTCTAGATTCCAGTTGAGACATGGTAATAGACAATCCACTGCAAAAGTCTCAACCTGAAGCAAAGTCTGTGCTCTTCTACTCTTAAAGAAAACATTCACCAAATTGTATTCTCAAATTGCTTCCCACTGTTCTTCTCTCAGATTGAACTTGGTTGTTCGGTTGACTTTCTCATCTACCTTTACAAACTACTGCTCACATTACTGCTGACACGCTCATTCAATGCCCACCACCCTCTGTCTCAAATATCCATCCTTTTCTTAGCACCTCGATCTATTTTGCTGACATTCATTAACTCTTCACTTCACTGCAGGGCCACGAGCCTCACTCCTCTTCCTCTGTAGTCGTGTAACCTTTTTCATCAGGACTTGTTCAGCTGAAAGCTTCTATTTTGCACTCCCTTTTGCATTATTGGTTTTATAATTTCCTGCATGTTCTATTCAAGTATTTTTCCTGTTCTATTTCACCCACCTTGCCTCCCCCAATTTCTTTCCTAAATCCCACCATTAGCCTAACGAATGCCTGCCGTGTATCTTGTTCTTCATCGTCTCCCGCCCTCTCTTCCGTGCTCCTCTCGTGACCCCGCCTTCTTTCTCCACTAGACTCTGTCAGGAGCTTTACTTACAGGCCGGGCTGTCTGATTAATGGCACTGCTGTTGACTTCATGGCTGAACATAAAGGCAGAACTAAACCGATTGCATCTCCATCTATCATCTAATTTCCCATGCTAAGCCACGTCTACACCCGGCTACAGAAAATTGATTCTCTTTCATACTGTGTAGCTGACTCGTGCTAAAGTTATTCTTTTGTTAATAGATCTGCTAATACTGATGAAGCAGGCACGAGCGATTCAACTGCAGGAATGTCAAAGAGATTAAACCTGATCTCACCCTCTCTTCATCTCTTCCCTTTCAGGGTTTCCTGAATGCAGTGTTTGAGAGGCTAAAACAGTTCTTGGAATGCTGTGAGTACTCGTCTCTTTCTTTTTCCTGGATCTCTGGTCTGAGGCTTCTCCCTTCAGTAAACAACTCACTTACCGGTGCCTAATATGAATGCTTATTAAAGGCTCCTACTTAAGAGACCGTATGGCACACAGACTCCAGGTCTCACGATAGTGTCGCATGACTTAGGTTTCACATTGAAAGCTCAGGCCGAGTCATCCTAAGGCAGTGGTTTTCAATCTCTTTCTCGTCAAGGACCCCTAAATTGATACACATTAGGTAAGATTTTTAATCCATGGACTGAAACAATTTTGGTTGTAAGATTGGACTTGGTGGTGAACGGTCACCGTTGCCTCACAAAACACATGGATTCATATGCTAATTAAGGCAATTTCACACAAATGTCTAATAGGATAAAAATGATGAAGTGATGACATTTTGGACAGGCAACATGACCGCTTGGTGGAGGCATATGACCGCGAGGTGGCAATTCTTTTTCTGATCAATTTACACCAGAAGGAACAAGTTTTTATAACTGTCTGCTTTAGTGTGGAAGTGCGATCAATTAGCAAATTATTCTAGCTACTTCATTCACTCCTGGTCAGACAGCTGATCACTGCGATTACTCTTATAATACAATATAATAAGTGTCTGATTAAGATAGTTGTTCTTCCACGGCTTATTTCGGACATGCAGTTGTGACAAAGTTCACGAGTTCCTAAAAGGTTCATGGTCCTGTCTCCTGCTACTTTGTACATATCCCTCTGAATGGAAATATCAAATAAAGTTCATAAAAAAAAAGGTTCTTCGTCGGTAGAGACACCCACCGAGTGACACCCTTTAAGTGGTAGCTATCCAGTTCAGTAGCAAATATGTTTGCTCAATTTCACCGCTTGATTTCACTATCAACGTTCCTTTTTCTTCTTTTTTCTGGGAAGTCTTTCATGATAACACCCAGTGGCTGAGAGATGTCTCAGACACAGCTCCACAATCTACCATAGCAGCAGATTTTTAGCAAAAGAACATCATCAGTCACAGCTATCACTTCCAATATTTACTCTGCTGATGGCAATAGAGATGGGGTCAGGGTCCTGTTGGTATTTGGGCACGGCAGATAGAGGAAATGGCAAGGCAGCTCACAGCCGGGTTGGGGAGAAATATCAGCTCTGCACAGACCGATAAGGTCAGCTATATAAACTGGTGTTTTTGGGGCAGTCTTTGTGGTCCATTCAGATGTCTGGCTCTCCCTGTTAGATGTTTGTCCTCCAGCCAGGTCAGTCACTGTCAATCACTGCACTGTTAAACTCTTTTTTCAAGGTTACATATCTGTCAGAAATAATGAATAGTTTCATTTCTTAGCTTTGTTTTGTTCATCTGTCTCTGTCTGTGTATTGTATTAGCAGGTTTTCGCTGGGTCAGGTGTTTGACCATCTGCTTACATTACCCGCTGTCACACACCTGCAAACAAGGAGACATTGGCATGGACACAAAGTTAATAAAATGCAATGTTGTTTTAGATTTACATAATGCTTGATGTTAAGTGTGAAAGAAGCAAGACAACGCAATCTTTAAAGCCAGTTCGCCTTATTAATCAATCCGTGAATGAATGTGTGCATAAAGGGGAGAGGAAACTATTGCCCCGGCTGCTCACAAATGATTGCAGGAATGCCAGAGACCGATTTTTCATCAATGAGGTTGATGAGGAAGTTAACTACATGGGACATCTTTATTGATTCTAGCATCATTGAGTAATTTTATGGAGCCAAAGTTTACAGCAGGGCGGCTGACTCACTCATGTTCATATTTAAGTTCTTTTCATCACTGTTGTTTATTATATACGTCGATGTAATGGGCCCATGGGACTCACCAAAGGCAGCAAGATGAAGTGGGCATTTGTGGCAGAGTTTGGAGTTGGGATTGGTGTCAGGAAATCATATAAAATTGAATCATTGGGTAGATTTGGGAACATGTCACGGGCGAAGCTACGGACCTGTAAATATCTGGGTGGGGCTACTACTACTGGTGGCAGACCGGTAGGTGTGGAGGGTAGTCCCAGGTGATATTGGAGGAGAGGGGGCTGTCAGCAGACTGGTGAACAGCCCTCCTTCGGTTAGTCCGAGCTGGGAAAAGGAATATTCCCTTTTTAGAAGAGTTAAAAAGCCCCAAGATGTCTGAATTCGCCAACTCCACCATGAAGAACTGGTTTACCTTGGCAGACACAGACCTTGATGGATGAACAATCCAATTGAGGATAAAGCCAGCAGTTAAAGTCTGAAGGGAATGTTGAGGAAAAACATTTAAAAAAAAAAAAAAAAAGAGGCGTCACTATCACTATTGGGAGCATAAACATTAGTGAGTATTATACATCTGGCCAGTAACTATAAATGATCAACTATTGAGATCAAATATTAGATTTTAATGTACAAAGGGATCAGATCCATGCAGCAGGAAAGCTGCACCTCTTGATTTTCCCAGGAATGAGTCTGACTTTCCCATCTTCTCTTCAACTTTGAATGAGTTGAGGCTTTAAGTGGAGTCTCTTGTCATTGGATTATATCTGCATCAAGGTGGTGTAGATGATGTACCTTGTTTTATAGGGTTATTGAGTCTTTTACAGTTAAAACTGAAAATGCTGCAATGCAAATTAGGTTCGGTCATAGCTATGAATTAGGTCTGCTATACAAGAACAAGAGTGATGGACTGCAGCAGGAACCTCAACGATGGAAAGACAAAAGAAAAGCACATTAAAACACAATAAAAGTGTACAGTCTACACATCTGCCTTATGTTCAGCTACAGAGTCTCGTTACCATCTCACACCCCCCCCCCCCC